CTTTACGTGTGTAAGTATATGGTAGGCTATATATGTAAATGTGCATACATCCCAGTAATCAAACGCCGACACTTACATGCAAACACAGCCCTTCATTAATACTCCAAATTTATATACAAATGCATCCCTTCATTCAAACACCAACACTACACACAAATGTACACCTAAATTTAAAAGCCAATGCTACCGTCACATACACCCTCTGCAATCAAACACAAACATTACACACAAACACACCCCTGTATTAAAATGCCCAAATCTATTTCAATTTCCTGGATTGCACTTGTTACTGGCTGTCCACTAGATTTAATTGCCAGATCAGGGGTGGACTGAGAGCCTTTGGGGCCCCTGGGCAAAATTAGATCCCAGGCCCTTTGAAGGCTAAATATATGTACATTAAATAAATGTTAACTTTAACTCTCGTATGATATGGCACTCCTTTGGATGTGTACAGTGTGAAGGCCTGTGTATCAGTGAATGTTTGTATTTGAGTCTGTGTGAATGCACTTGTGCATGTCTGGATGACTACATGTGCTTTTTGTATATAGTGTCAGTGTGAATGCATATGTGTATTTAGCATTAGTGTGTGCCTGCATGTGTGTGTGGGGGTGAAATATTTTTAAAAATCTACTTGTCCAAGGGGACTAAAGTAGTAGCCAATATACTTATCCATTATGACAATCTGCTTGTCCTGACACAAAATAATATCAATTACAAAGATTAGGGGCCGTTGCCTTGTGCCAGGAAAATTGTCAGGGCTATTTGCTAAAGAAATTACAGAATAAAGGCGGGGGTGACATTGTGATGGAAGGTGGGGGTGACAGAGTGAGGGAGGTAGTGACAGGTAACAGAGTGTTGGAGGGGGTGACAATGTGGGAGGGGAGGAGACAGGTGACAGAGAGGGGGAGACTGGTGACAGGGTGAGGGAGGGGTGACTGATGACAGGGTGAGGGAGGGGGTGACTGATGACAGAGTGAGGGAGGAAGTTACTAATGACAGAGTGAGGGAGTGGGTTATTAGTGACATAGTGAGGGAGGGGGTGACTGGTGACAGAGTGCGGGAGGGGGTGACTGACTAGTGAGAGTGAGGGAGGGGGTGACTGGTGACAGAGTGAGGGAGGGGGGTACTAATGACAGAGTGAGGGAGAGGGTGATTAGTAACATAGTGAGGGAGGAGGTGACTAGTGTAAAAGTGAGGGAGGGGGTGAATGGCAACAAAGCGAGGGAGGGGATGACAGAGTGAGGGAAGGGCTGACTGGTGGTGACTCATTAATAGAAAAATAATACTTTAATTAATGAGATCCTACAAGTAATGATGTGGATGATTGACTAGGCAACATTGAAAGAAAATTGTTGCACATTTGGTAATTATTTATTTTTTCCTCTGTGTTCATGGTGTATATAACTCATAGTAGTTATGTGCTTGCTGTAACCCCTTAGACTTATATTAACATCTGATGCTGGTACCCTGGAGTCCAGGGCTCTCTGTTCAACCCCATCCTAGTTAAAGGTATGTGCATCTCGGGTGGGGTGACTGTAGCTGGAGTTTTGGCACAGGTTACCCATTTAAAGCTATAGACCACAACATCATTAAACTATACTTTAACCTTGGGACAGGCATCATCTGCTCGGTCAAAGAAGTCCTTGGAATCATGTCATGCTCCTTATGGAGTCCGGTTGTGATTGGTTCTGGCCCCAGATGTACTGGGTGGACATAATGGAGCACCCCTGTAGTCTGGTTGTGGTCTAAGTATATTTTATCTACCCATTATAACTTAACCCATCCAGTTCCAGGTTACACTATGTCCTACGGCTGGTTTTGAGCTACCTTACGGGAAGAGGCCACCCAAAGAACACGCTAACGGGCACACCTCCTAGGTGCGTTTGGCCTTCTCAATCGTATCCTGATGACCCTATTCCCGCTTACCTATGATCCCTATTTCGCATGCTTGCTTTTATGTTCACTCTGTGGACAAAGAGGAATGTCCGAGTGGCTGGTCTCAGATGACCTTGGAGGTGAAGATGCTGGATGTGTAGGTCCTGGGCTGGTGTGGTTACACGTGGTCTGCGGTTGTGAGGCCGGTTGGATGTACTGCTTAATTCTCTGAAACGCCTTTTGAGATGGCTTATGGTAGAGAAATGAACTTTTAATTCACGGGCAGCAGCTCTGGTGGACATACCTGCAGTCAGCATGCTAATTGCACGCTCCCTCAAAACTTACGACATCTGTGGCATTGTGCTATGTGATAAAACTGCACATTTTAGAATGGCCTTTTATTGTGGCCAGCCTAACGCACACCTGTGCAATAATCATGCTGTTTAATCAGCATCTTGATATGGCACACCTGTGAGGTGGATGGATTATCTCGACAAAGGAGAAGTGCTCACTAACACAGATTTAGACAGATTTGTGAACAATATTTGAGAGAAATAGGCCTTTTGTGTACATAGAAAAAGTCTTAGATCTTTGAGTTCAGCTCGTGAAAAATGGGGGCAAAAACAAAAGTGTTGCGTTTATAATTTTGTTCAGCATAATAGAGCTATAGATGAGCTCAAATCAATCAGCATATTGAGATAATATTCCTGCTTAAGGATATAAAGTGGTGATCCTCAAAAGCAGGAGACGGATAATTAAACAAGAAGAAAACAAAAACACAGAGAAGAGACTTTATAGTGCATTATATAAAATTACAATGAAATAAAGAAACAAAAAATGGCCACTCACAAACTTTTATACAGTTGCAAGAAAAAGTATGTGAACCCTTTGGAATAATATGGATTTCTGCACAAATTGGTCATAAAATGTGATCTGATCATCATCTAAGTCACAACAATAGACAATCACAGTCTGCTTAAACTAATAACACACAAAGAATGACTTTTGTAAGTCTTTAGCTGACACTCTAGGATTCTTCTTCACCTCATTGAGCAGTCTGCGCTGTGCTCTTGCAGTCATTTTTACAGGACGGCCACTCCTAGGTAGAGTAGCAGCGGTGCTGAACTTTCTCCATTTATAGACAATTTGTCTTACCGTGGAATGATGAACAGCAAGGCTTTTGGAGATACTTTTATAACCCTTTCCAGCTTTATGCAAGTCAATAATCTTTAATCGTAGGTCTTCTGAGAGCTCTTTTGTGCGAGGCATCATTCACATCAGGCAATGCTTCTTGTGAAAAGCAAACCCAGAACTGGTGTGTGTTTTTTATAGGGTAGGGCAGCTGTAACCAACACCTCCAATCTCATCTCATTGATTGGACTCCAGTTGGCTGACATCTCACTCCAATTAGCTCTTGGAGATGTCATTAGTCTAGGGGTTCACATACTTTTTCCACCTGCACTGTGAATGCTTACATGGTGTGTTCAATAAAAACATGGCAACATTTCATTCTTTGTGTGTTATTAGTTTAAGCAGACTGTGATTGTCTATTGTTGTGACTTAGATGATGATCAGATCACATTTTATGACCAATTTGTGCAGAAATCCATATCATTCCAAGGGGTTTACATACTTTTTCTTGCAACTGTATATAGCTTTTTAAAAGCACAAATATAACAGCATAAAGGGGTGTAATCCCCGCTTCGGGATATGTTGCTAGTAGATGTCTACAGTGGTTAAGCACCCATAAAAGTATCCTAATTACAATTTATTGAGCAATGTATTAGATGGTATTATTCCGACCAAAGATATAAAGGAGATCAGGAGTATCTGCCAAAGAAATCGAGAGGACAGTCAGGAAAAAGCACAATCCATGAGTTATTATTAATAAAAAAGCATGTAAAAAATATGTTTAAAAAATCTATCAAATCCCCAGCATAGTACCCTGTGATCTTTCCCAAGGGAGCTCCCTAAAATCTAAGGTGTCATTTGAAATCTTTCATTTGAAATAGGTTGCTGTAAAAGGGGGAGGGAGGTATCACAGCTAGATTTAAAATGTATGTAGGGGAAAGGTCACAATGTACTTAAGGACCACAAAAAGGCATACAGACCACTTCATCCAGACCACTTCATCTCAATAAAGTGGTTTGTGTGTAGTGGTCCTGTCTTTTTAACCCTGCAATGGAAAATACTGCCATTTTGCGAAAACAGGGTAGGGTTAAATATGCCTCTAGTGGCTGTCTTCCTTACAGCCACTACTGGTGCTTCTGCTTCAAAAACCATTTGATTGAAGGAGCACGATGTTTAGCTGCACGTGTGTATCTTGACCACAATTCTTCTCTAAGAGAAGTATTGGGTTGCACAAGATCTCAGAAGACATCAAGAGGCATGCAGAAGAAGGAGGCGAAGGTGGCTTTAGTGGAGGAGTGTCGGTGCTGGAAAAAGGGTAAGTAACATAGATTTATCTTCACTTTTACACCAGCATAGGGGGGTGGACAGATGTCAGAATCATAGAAGGGAACTTATAGTATCCAAAAAACAAATGGTATTGTTATTGTTTGCACTATATGTTTCATTTAAAAGTTACTTGCCAGTGCAAGCCAAAGTATGCTCAGCAGGGGTGAATTTTTATTCAGCCAATGGCTAGTGCAGAGTGGAAATTTTGATATTAATACATATCTGTATAAAACTCTATAAAAAGCCAGCACTCAATGATATTCTTATTAAAAGATTACTTTTATTGGTATTCCAAAAATTACATTAAAAAAGTCGGTGTTTCAGTTCTGCATGATAACTTTCCTTAGGATATATACACACACACACACACACACACACTCTGTAACTGAATTCTCATTGTTTTTGTGTGTTTTTAAAACTTTATGCTTGTGGGCTTTAAAGTCAGCTTCTCGTTGATTCTCTAAGTATGTGTGTTTGAAGTTGATGCAATGGTTGGCTTCTTATCCACGTAGTCTTTAACTAAAGTACCAATTACCTTTACCGAACGCTTGATAAATGTGTCGGCGGAGAAGCATAAACATATACATAGATACATAGACACACACATAAATACACACAGCTATATATAGCTATAGAGGGAAGTGATTTTCTGCATGAGGTGTATGCTATGATTGATGAAGTATGAGCTCAGGGTGTGGGCTGGTTGCAGTCTTGGGAAGATAAGAAATCCAGGTGCCAAAGGTTACAGAGGCTGCAACATTGTGCGGAGACAGGGAACGAGGCTATTCCATAGTACATGACGGTCTTAAAGAGCTAGTTAAAGCACCTGCCATGGCAGGAATGGGCTACAGGAATCTGTTACTGTTACTTATAATAGTGGAGTGTCTACTCCCACGAGGACAGACACAATGGCTGATTTTTGGGGATCGGAACAAACCTAAAGAGACAACTCCAGCTATGGCCTTAACAATCTCCAGTGAAGACACAGGTATGTGAGGGGCATAGTTTACGCCTTTAACAATCCTAATGCATGTTATTTGCCTTTTTTGGATTATCTAGCACAAATCATGTGTTTGTTTTGTCCCATATACCTTTTCCCACATTTCAGCCTAGAAAACAATATGGTTTCTGGCATGTACAAAGCAGAAACATATAAAGGCATTTTGAAATAGAGTTCTATATTCTAGAGTTCAGATTTGTATTAATGATGAGGAAAAGCAACAGTATCGACAATGGGCCAGAGCAATTTTAAGTTTAGTTAAAACTAAATGTAAGGTATGACAAATGTATAGACAATAATAAAATTCTCTACTCTAATCTAGGTTGTATCTAAATCCCACCATGTCTACATTTTCATGTTTACTGTCTACTGATTTGATTTCAGTATGTCTATATGTTCCTCTGTCTCATATTATGTTTGTCTTTTCTTTTCTCCCATTCAATAGAATAGACTCAGTGTGATCTCTTCTTGGTGTAGTTGACATTCCGATCTTCTATGTTCTCCCACTTCGTTGAATAATTTAGTATGGTCTCTCCGTTATGGTCTAGGTGAAGCATCCTCAAACTGTGGCCCTCCAGATGTTGCTGAACTACAACTCCCATGATTCTCTGGCTATCTATGTAATTCAAAGAATCATGGGAGTTGTAGTTCAGCAAGATCTGGAGGGCCACAGTTTGAGGACCCCTGGTGTAGGTGAGGGTTACTCATTTCCTTCTTTTACACATAGTGCCATCTTCTCTAAGATGTGCAATACAACAGTCTTAACACCCATCACCATAATCTATACAATGCATCCAGGTTTGCTTTTTATTGCTCTTTTACAATGAAACTCTATAGCATGGGTAATGCTGGCAGAACATCAGGGGAGATGCAGTCCACAACATCTGGAGTGCTAAAGCTGTCTACCTCTGTTCTATACATATACAGTACCTCCCCAGGCTTTCCATACGAGTGAAACATATTAATATATACTACATTAAAGTTACCCCTTCTTGTGTATGCTCCCCTTTCAGACCCAGAATTTGAATACGATAGTGATGATATCCTACTAACCAGAGATCCATTGCCTGAGACCCCACAACCTCCAGGTATTTATGAAGAGTTAGAAGATATCAAATCCCAAAAAGAAATTTCTACGAAACCAGCAACTCAAGATCAACCACATGTAGCAAGAAGGACAACAGTCTCCTCCATACAACATCATGAACGAAAAAGTAAACTTGATGTTCCAGATGAGGAAATTGTCCACACCATACAAACTTCACACAAACCTCCAGATGTAACACATATCAAAGAGTCGACTCCGCTCACTACTCAGAAACAGACTACCAGTCAGCTCAACTCAACAACAAAAAGACCTCACCAGGATGACCAACTTATAAGCGAGGTAATCTTGTATGAAATAACTCTAATCGGATAGTCATGTTAAAATGCCAATAAAAATTGTAATTTCCCTTTAATCTCTGAAAAATATAACTTTTGCCAGTTAGAAATATATTTCTTATTTCTACGTTAATCATGGAGGTAAACATTTATGTGAAAGTAGTGTTTTGGTCTGAGATTTCTGAAGATTATTGATTAATGTTTATAACACATATTTTTGTATACTCTGTGTACAAAGCTTCAGTGAATAGTGTGCTTTGCAGCAATACAAGTCTCGGAAATTATCTGCAGGCATGTCCCACGGTCAAAGTCTGGTGGTAATAACCTCCACCTACTCTATGTATTAAAAAAGAATCTCAAGTTGCTTAGACTGATAACTGTAAAGTGTAGATTTATACATGAATGGAGTCCCTCCTATTTACTTAAGAAAAAGCCTTATTTGTTTTCCATTTTATACAGAGCATTTCTGGGGCAGAGGTCTAGAAATGGGGCACTCACAAAGAACATTCCAATAGTTCCCATAGTGACATATTCATTTATATTGTTTTGCCTTAGAATTGTTCAACAGAGCTTAAAGGAACACTGACATTATTTTTTAATATCTTAATATAATCATTTTTCATAAATATCTTTATAAGATGCTGTCTCATTCATTTCTTGATACGTGTATTTTGATTTTTTTTTTTTCAAGGAATGATTTGATTTCATTATTTTCTTTCTGACGGTCATCTTTATGCAACTTTGGTCAGATTATTAGTTATTTGACTCAATCCTTATTGCCTGACAGAAAATGCTGCAGGCAGAAAGCAACAGACTGCTGCAAAATATAGTGTTGAACATAGTGTTGGATAACTGACAATCTGACCAACGGTGCATGAAAATGACTATTTAAACAAAAAATGCCTAAAGAAACCACCAGAGGGCGCCAGACACCAGTTAATTAATTATAACATACCAATTACAAATAATTACCAATGGTATATTGTGGCGCTATACCCTCCAGAAGATGGGTTACTACCGCCTAAGACGTACCTTCCCAGTTGTGAATAGCTCCAGAGTGATTATACCCTCTGTAACGGCACCCCCAGGCATAAAAGGGGTTAAACCGCCGTTTAGTAGATCTTCCCTTCCAGAGACACAGGCACAGCTACTGCAGAACACCAATCCGCCGAACAGGAAACCATATGAATGCTGTAAACAGCTGAATAGGAAAAACCATACGAATAGTTTATACTCCTAGCAGTCGAACTGGAACAGCATACAATAAATCCCCCCCAAGAATGAGACAAAGCTCCGTGTTGAGGGTCAAGCAGTGAACAGACACAGCTGTGGGTTTATTGTTCTTATGTACACATTCTTACACATTAGTACCACCCACAGGGTTTTGGAAAACAACCAATAAACATGTACAATACACTCAGACACTCCAACACAAAATCCTCCCCTCTGCCTGTGATACAATTACCTTACACAATGGGTAATGTAATTATCACCGGCAGAGAAATAAAATTTTTCCATATTATTCATAACTTTAACCCCTTAAGGACGGAGCCAAATGTACACGGTGTGAACAAAAAATGTAATGTCTGTCCAACCTTAATTCACCTCTTTCATATTAAATGCACCCACCCTTATTATATATCATTTTATTCAGGGGAAACAGGGCTTTCATTTAATATCAAACATTTAGCTATGAAACATAATTTAATATAAAAAAATGGGAGAAAATAAGATTTTTTTTAATTTTTTTAGTTCTACATGACATTTTAACGGTCAATGTCATAATACTGTTTGCTTTTACTGCAATAAAATACACATATTTGTATTCAGTAAAGTCTCACATGTAAGACAGTACCCCCTATGTACAGGTTTTATGGCATTTTGGGAAGTTACAGGGTCAAATATAGCACGTTACATTTGAAATTGAAATTTGCCAGATTGGTTACGTTGCCTTTGAGACTGTATAGTAGCCCAGGAATGAAATTTATACCCATAATGGCATACCATTTGCAATAGTAGACAACCCAAGGTATTGCAAATGGGGTATGCCCAGTCTTTTTTAGTAGCCATTTGGTCACAAACACTGGCCAAAGTTAGCATTAGTAGTTGTTTGCAGGGCCGTCTTTAATAACGAATGGACCCTGGGCAAGTGTTTGTTTGGGCCCCCTGTGCCCTGCCGCTCTCGCCCCTCACTCCCTGGTATGCAATCATGGCATCCATCCCAACGCAGTGGCGGTACTAAAGTAGAATGAATTTTATTGGGACCCCCAATTGCAAGGTTGGACTAAAGGTAGAACCCCATCTGTCGTGCAACTCCAACAATGCTTTGACAGCTGGGACTCTACCAATTTCCCATGCTTGCAGGGTTGTATTTAGCACTGAGCCATGTTAGTATGTTTGAATGTAAGCATGTGTTTGTATGGAGTATGTTTGTGTGAATGTGTTTGTATGTGGTACTGGAGTTTGAATGCAAGTGTGCATTTATGTGTAGTGTTTGTTTTTGAATGTAGGAGTGTGCTTGTATGTAGTGTTGACGTTTCAATGCAGGAGTGTGTTTTATATGTAGTGTTGAAGTTTGAATGGAGGGGTGTATTTGTATTTAAAGTTGCGGCTCAGATGCACAGGTACACACTCTGACGCACAAGCAGATACACAGATACATACACTGACTACATACAGATAAACAGGCACATACACTGACAGACACACTGACACAGGTACATATATTGACACACACACAGACACATACACTGGTAGACGTACTGACAGACATACTGACACAGGCACATATACAGACATACTGACACACAGACACATATACCGACATACTGACACACACACAGACACATACACTGATCAACATACTGACACACATACACTGACAGAAATACTGACACACACACACACACATACACTGACACACAGACATACTGGCACACAGACAGATATACTGACACATGCATACACATGCACTAACAGACATACTGCTGACACATACACATACTGACACACACAGATATACACACACATATATACTGACACACAGACATGCTGACACACACACATACACTGACACACACATACACTAACACACAAACACTAACTCACACATACACACATACAAACAAACCCCCATGTGACAAACACATAAACACATACACTAACACACAAACACATACACTAACACACAAACACATACACTAACACACACACACACACATTAACACACAAACACACTTTTTTTTTTTTTTTTTAAATGTAATCCCCCCAGCCTCCTTACCTTTTGGAGTGCTGGGGGGATTCCCTGGGTCCAGTGGTGCTGCTGGGCTCCTGGGCGGGTGGCCGGTCGGGCAGGAAGGCGGGCGCGCGAGGGAGCACTCACTGCTTCCTCTTCAGCTCCCTCGCGCGCCGCGTAGGGATGCCGGCGCCGGAAGATGACGCCATCTTCCGGCTCCGGCATCAGTGCGGTGCGCGAGGGAGCTGAAGAGGAAGCACTGAGTGCTCCCTCGCGCGCCCGCCTTCCTGCCCGACCGGCCACCCGCCCGCCGGGGTCAGCGGGGCCCACGGGGCAGGTGCCTCGGGCCCCCCAAGAGAAACTGGGCCCGGGGCAGCTGCCCCGTTTGCCCCGCGTTAAAGACGGCCCTGGTTGTTTGTGTGTGAAAAATGCAAAAAACACCAATTTTGGCCAGTGTTTGTGACTAAGTGGCTACTAAAAAAGACTGGACATACCCTGTTTGCAATACCTTGGGTTGTCTACTTTTGCAAATGGTATGCCATCATAGAGGTAATTTTCATTCTTGGGCTACCATAGGGTCTCAAAGGCAACGTAACCAATCTGGCGAATTTGAATGTGAAAAAAATGAAACGCAAGCCTTATATTTGACGCTGTAACTTTTGAAACACCATAAAACCTGTACATGAGGGGTACTGTTGTACTCAGGAGACTTAGCTGAACACAAATATTTGTGTTTCAAAACAGTAAAAAAGTATCGCAATAATATCGTCCTTGTAAGTGCTGTTTGTGCGTGAAAAATGCAAAAAACATCGCTTTTACTGGCGATATCATCGTTGCAATACACCCTACTGTTTTGAAACACTAATATTTGTGTTCAGCGAAGTCTCCCGAGTTGAACAGTACCCCCCATGTACAGGTTTTATGGTGTCTTGGAAAGTTATAGGGTTAAATATAGTGCTAGCAAATTACTTTTGGCATGGGTTGTCAGGCAGGTCCCGCTAATTGTAATTAATTAAGATACCTAATTATGTAAAAATATTACATAAATATATATGTAGAATTAATATATGCATATATATATATATATATATATATATATATATACGTATGTGTATATATATAATATAAAAAATAGAATATTCCTTGCACTCACGCTTAAGTAGTCCAATTTGCCTTATTAGGCTTGCCGGGTGCCAGTCTTTAGGGTCCTTCAATGTAGTATACAAAACAAAGCAGGCTGCACTCACGGACTTTCAAACTTCAAGTGTAATTTTATTCCATCCAAGAAACAAAAACGATCAACGTTTCGGCCCATGCAGGGGCCTTCATCAGGATCAAACAGTACTGTTTGATCCTGATGAAGGCCCCTGCGTGGGCCGAAACGTTGATCGTTTTTGTTTCTTGGATGGAATAAAATTACACTTGAAGTTTGAAAGTCCGTGAGTGCAGCCTGCTTTGTTTTGTGTATATATATATATATATATGTATATATCTATATAATTTTTTTAAAATATTTTTATTTATATATAGGTATATAATAGTGATATATACGTATATATTTATGTATATAGATATATATATTATTTCGTTCTACGTGTATTTTGATATATATATATATATATATATATATATATTAATTTCACAATACAGTTAGAACGAAATAACACACATCTATATATATTTTAATTATTTATTTTTAATTATTATTTTTTTAATTTTATTTTTAACGTATTTTACATTTTTATTTTTATATATTATATATAAATATATATATAAATACAATTATATATATATATATTTAATCAGTATCAGTTCACGTAATTTAATATTACTATATATAATTATATATATATTAATATAAAATATACCTGTGACGGGGTAATGCAGTGTATGTATATGTGTATATATATATCTAGATCATATATATATATATTATATATATATATATATATATAATATATATATATATATGATCTAAGTATATATATTTATTTTTTTTTACACTCCCTGGGAGTCCCCGAACCGATCGCCGCATGGGATCGCCGCTACCGGTAGAGAAAAGACCGATAATGCGTTATTACGCCCGGGCGCTAGAGTCGCTTAGAATAGGGCGTAATATGCACCCACCGGTCTTATGCGTTAAAAGTATGCATCACATTCACATAAAACATACATTTCAGAATCAGCATACTCCAAATACAAACATATGTCAAAATCATCCAAATTGGTCCGGTGGTTCAAACGATAGATCGTAGTCCTTTGTGACCAAAGGAAGCATGGCTTTTCTGCCCAAAACCAGTTCCACAGAGTCTTCTATCCTGGAGATAATTGGGAAGTAATCCAATTATCTCCAAGGACAGAGACAAAACTCCATTAAGCACATGGCAGTAAAAAGACAGTAAAATACAATAAAATACACAAGGTTACATTTATTACATAAAATACAGACATGCAACATATCTCCAGATAGCTTAGGTCTGAGCGCACATTATTACTGAATGGCGCTCAGACTACACATATACAGTTCAATCGCCATGGAGCCAAAGTCTTTTATTACACGAATAGGCTCCATGGCATAGCTATCTGGGTTAAATGAGTTAATTCGGTAAATCCGAGAATCTACCGAACGCCAGGGCAGAAATACAGAAATAGACCTTTCTGCATAGGAAAATAAAGTATTTAAATGCCAGTCCATAGTCAAAAGGCAGCAGGCAGGCAACCAGGCTCCTCCAATGCACAGTGGCGAGATTGGTCTCGTCACACCCTCCTGCATAGGTTACGCTGTCTCATCGAAACTCTAGTCGAGACTTAGTGAAGGGTGAATAAACTGTTTTATTAGATCCATGCACACTGAATTTATACACAGACCCCTAGCATAGGGTCTCCATTCAAAATAACACAAGCCCGCCTAGGCTGGGAAATAAGTGTGTCAGCTCTCGGTTAAACTAATTATCTACCGGACACAGAAATACTAAAAATTAACAAAAACATATAAAATACAGTAAACACCCCCACATGTCATACATCCTTGGAAGGTTTCTCTGGAGCGCCCCCACCCTGATCGGATCGGTCTAGCCCTAATTAGATGAAAGTCCAGAGTTCAGCAGGACGTGGCCAGCCTCCGATCCGGCACAGGGCTCCAGAGTGCTAAGTAGAGATTCACGGTCACCTAAAACCATAGCTCTTTCCGTGGGTACATGGAGCTCAACCAAGTTTTTGGTGTCTTGGATGCCTCATTACCCCCTCTATCAACCTTCCAAAAAGCGCTCTGTTTGCTGGTTCAGGGGCCGAGAGCACTCTGATTGTAGTTTCTTTGGACTGCAGCTACTCTGAGATCCGCTCTAGAGTTCCATAAGATTTCAGAGCTACTCTTGGATCCTGCATAATGTGTCTTCCTGGCTTGCTGGCCATTATAGGTTGCTTCTTGTGCCGTAAACAAGTCTGGTTGGCTCAGGAGACACGGGATGGAGGGTCAGTATCTAGTGACAATAGTCTTTTTGGAGAGGGTGAGAGTTGGGGACAACAGTACCTGGATTAGGTTACCCGAAGGTTTGTCACAAATATAAACAGTCTAAGTCAAATAAAATTCTGCACTTCCTTAGGAGCTGACAGCCACTGAGGAAGTCTGGAATTTTACTAGGACGAAACATGCTGAGCTCTTTACGTTTGTGGCTTCCCACCTTACTAACGAGCAGAAAAGGGCTCCTTGACCTCCATGGGTGTTCAGGACTGAAGTCCTCAAAATTTCTTCTATGGTGGCACTAGAAGCCAGTATTGCCCATTTCTTTGAGTTTGTACAATACCATTTGTGAGTGTTTTTATATGTCATTATTTTTTAACTTAATAAATTGTACTATACCATGATCGCTTTTCATTTCCCCTGTTTGAGATTATTTTAGAACTTGGAATTCTACTAAGACTAAGTTCATATGCCATTGGTAATTTTTTCTCATTGGTATATTATAATTAATTAACTGATGTCTGGCGCCCTCTGTGCCTATGGATGGTTTTTGTATGCATTTTTTTATATGTTAATTTGGGGATTTTCTATTGGAGTGATCTTTTGAATTAAAGCATTAGCACTTGGGACATTGTAAGCTGCCAAAATTGCTTTATACTGTTGTTTCTTTGCATCCAAATGGCTGTCAGAGATGGAATTGGGCAAAAGTAGACTAGTCATTTCTTAGTCAACCATAAATTCGATATACCGGAATTAAAAATGAATGCGATGAAGGGGGCCTCGGCATATGTGGCGGCTTGGGAGAGGGACTTAGGGCCACCGGACGACCCCACGGACTGGCAAGATATCTGGGAGGCAACGGCCTCAATATCCATATGCGTTAACCATAAGGAGCAAGCGTATAAAACACTGCTCCGATGGTACCTAACCCCGGTACGTTTGTACCATATGGGCAAGGCAGACGCGGACCTATGCTGGAAAAACTGCGGGCAGAGAGGCACATACATACACACATGGTGGCATTGCCCTAAACTGGTCCCATTGTGGGCGGAAGTAGCTACCCTAGTCTCAACACTCCTCCAGACCACCATACCATTAGACCCCTGGACCTGGCTCCTCTCCAGACCACGAGAGGACCTGACCAGAGCCCAAAACAAAATGACAAACCGGATAGCCTTAGCGACTAGACGGGCAATAGCCGAAGTATGGGGTTCGCCAAACACCCCCACACTGCAAACGATCATACGCAAAACCAAGGAAGCAATACACATGGATAGGCTATCAGCCATAATTCATGAGACCTCTAAACACTTCCACAGAATCTGGGACCCCTGGCTATCCGATCCCCACCTACAATAAGGGCACACGGACAGCCTCCACCTCACCCACCAGGCCCGCTACTCCAACATAGCGATCAAAATACCAACGCACGGAAACTCACAGTACAAATATTACCCCAACCCGAACCATTGGATGTCTACTGGGCTCCCGAAATAGTGTCCCACCATGGTACTCTCACCCTTGTACATAGGTTCTCCACCCCCCCCCCAACTGACTACCCAGACGCAGGGGCGCCCATTAGTACGCAACGAGGACGATAAAAATAGTCAATAGGGGGCATCCCAACCTACCACAAAACTGTTAACGAGACGAGCCGCAAATCTCATACGGCCACCAATACAGACTGGTCCAAACGAATTGGGCAAAGGGAATAAGTCCAAAACAGAAATCCCTGAACCCCGCACTATTGCACGATAAACGCCTAACCAACGGACCGCACCAAGACACAACTACTTGTTCGCAACACCCTAAGGCGCAAAGACAAGTAAAATATTGTGCTCCTGTATCATTGTGGCTGTTTCACCCCCTCCCTCTTTCATTTCTGTACCCTAATGTTTTCTTTTTCCACACCGGAAAACAATAAATAAAGAATGTTTAAAAAAAAAAAATGAATGCGATGGTATATTATAACAGAAATATTGTATTAAAATATTAAGTAAAATGTTAATGTCAGCATTCCTTTAAATGAGTAAGTAGCACCTCTAGAAATTGATACCTGGCATTTTATAGCACCTTTGCAATGATCAAAAGAAATATATTAACCTATGGGATTACCCACATAGATTACTTAAAGAGACACTCGAAGTAGCATAGCATAGTGCAGTAGTGGTTATGGTACCAGGAGTGCCCTGGCACCACCTATTGTAAGTAGTCAAAACATTTTATGGCACTGCTCCCCACCTCCTGTCAGCCTTCAGGAGAGCCAAAAGCTCTAGTTTAGGAGTTACTGTTAGCTCTCTCAAGCTAAGGTAAGATCTGCCTGGTACCACTCCCTGCCTGCACTACTTCCACGAGAGACGTAGGGCTGTGCAGGGCTGATTCATTGGCTGAGAGCATCAGCGGATCGCTCTCAGCCAATGAGGTATGCTCTCCACCACCAGTTTGAGGTCCGTTCAAGACAGGACAAGATCTTGATAAACACTCTTTTTGAGATGGAACATTTTTTACTTTCCAAAAAAGTCTGCCTTTGGACATCATGCCAGTGTCCAGTCCTTCCTTTGTACTATTGTAGTGTTCCTTGAAAGCTCTATGCAGTCAACTGAAGCTGTGTTCCATATTAGATACCCGTGTTGTACATTACCTTGTGATGTCAGGGGAAATCACACATAATTAGGAAGTACTTTACATCACGTTCTTACAGCATTTATCCCCCAAACAAACACGTATGCTATTCTATCTTGTTCCTTAACACTCATAGGAAACTGAGAGAGTGAAACCACCACAACCAGTGTCTACACCAGCTATTAAAACTCCAGGAAACGGTAAAGAGGAAGAATTTAGGACACACTGGATAAAAGGGGATCTAGGTGAGTGTTCCATTTAAATGTAAACTAGTGATCATTTATATTTTAATGCTCACAGATACTTTCTGGTGTGGAATTAACAATTTGTTCTTATCTTCGTATAAGCTAACAGTCATTTATCCAAAAAATGTCTAATTTACTCTCATCTTCCTTTCTGTACCTGTAGAAAAAGCACTTCTTATAAAATATATATTACTCTACTTCTTGGGTGGCTTGCCGTAATGTTAATATACAAATATTCTACAGTATTTATTATATTTTATTTATACTACTAAACTAATTTCCTTCACCACCATACCTTATACATCACCTTCTATTTCTCCCCATAGGATCTTTTGAGGACAAAGAGCTTGATATATATCAGGTCATAGATGGAGTGCTAGGGATAACAAAGTCTCACTCAGATCCAAACAAGGTAACACATCCTTCTCTTGGCTGAAGTCGATATTACTAATGATGTGGCATTGTATGTTGGGTTATATTTCATAGGAATTTTCTCATCAGTATTGTGTGTCTTTCATAATGCACTAGTAAGCACATATAGCCTTAATTGACTGTATGTGTATATGGGACACACATATTAAATTTATTGTAATTACATTTTCTCTTGATGGTACTTATGTTTACTGTTTTCTTGAAGGATTGAAAAGGTTACGGTTTTTGTATGTTATGCAACCAAAGGCAAAATAATCCTCTTTTACCTGTTTAAAAGTTACAAAATTAACAGGAGAGGTGAACAGGTTGAATTTTTTGCACAAAAACAACAAAAACCTGGCATAGAGAACAGAACAGAAACTAAGTTGGAACTCATTAATATTCCAAAACAATCAAAAGATATACATAAGATAAAGTAGGAAGTACCACATCCTATCATGAACAGGCATCATCTTCTCTTCTCTCGAGATCAAAGTGTTTGAAGTGCGATAGTACTGAGGCCATGCAAGGCAAACACTCCACAGCAAAGGTGTTAAGTTGATAGAAATGACTAACTTTGACAGCAGAAAATGTTGTTTTGTGATTGTGTTGAAAACAAACTTGTAATATCAGTCAAAATAAAACAACTTGGGATTGTGATTCAGGCCTCAATAGTAAGTAATTGTAAGTGGACAACAAAGCTTCACAATTTCGAGCAAACTAACTCAACGGAAATAAACAACTATTTAAAGTGGCAGTGTCACCATCTGGGTACTTTGCAGAATTTGCACACACACTAAACTGTGACAACATTGAGGATCTGGTGGCCGGGGGACTGACAAAGCGAATTCCATGCAGCCGTCACTGGTGATGCCAGGGAGGATTCTAGACGGCTGTAGCTCAGCCCCAGTCCCTACATTGTCTTAGTATATCTTTTGACTGGGATGGAATTTCAGTGAAATTCCTACACAGTCAATATGAGAGTTCCATAAAGATTTTATCTTTATGAAACACTAATTTTTCGGGCAGGGGTGGTGTGAGAGTACCGCTTTAAATTCGATTGTCAACTCACAGCTCATGTTCCAACTAGCCGTTTAATTCTGTGTTTGAATGCCATTAGATGAATATACAGCAAGGTATAGATATATTTAATGAAATGCCTTCCTATATTCCTTTGTTTTTTCCAGTCCGATATTTCTGCCTGTGTATGTCCCGTTGTAACTGGACCACCAGGGCCAAAGGTTAGTAAAAAGAAGTGTTTTAATATAAAGCACATTAAGTAATATTTATCTATGTTTTTGCTCCAGCGAAACATAAACCCTCTGTAGTCCGTATGTCCTGAAGGATGAGATACTTCATACTTTAGAATAAGTATGCCCATTGGTAAGTCACCTGCCATTCTGGTACCGCAACTTTGATGATACTTTTTCAGTCCATGCGTGACTTATTTCTCATGAAAGCTGTTGTTTCAATTTTTCAAGAGCTAGTGAGCTAACTTTTGGCTCTCCAGAAAAAAAAAGTAGAGGGTTATGTATGATGGGCAGTTGAGGCTAAAAGTTCTAAAAGTGGAACAATCAGCAAAAATATTCAATTTCTTTGTATAGTGATGGAATGTTCTCTCTTCTTGCTCACATTTAGAGCTTTGTATCAGAAGTTATTATTACACACAGCTGCTATAATCTCCAGAGAACGTCTCACAAACTAGTTGAGCTTTACCACCACAATAAAGGGGCTTTAGTAAATGACCATATCCTATTAAAAAAAAAAAAAAGGGGAAATGCCATATTGGGTATTAAACTAACTTAGGTATTTCCAAAGCCATGTATTTAAACTCACATGTGTGCGGTCAAAAACATCATGAAGTGTGTGCTTTGCGACCAGTAAGGACCTAAAAATAATTGATATGTCATCAAATGGGTACCCATTCTAATTTGTGTGGATGCTTCCAAAAAAAATTGGGTTTTGCTTAAAAAAAAAAAAAATGTATGTATGTTTTCAGGAAAATTTTCATAGTTACCGTAATTTCCTTTTCCTTTGTATTATTCATTGCAACATTGTTTTCTCTCCCTGAATTTTGTTGGACATGTTACTTGACTGTAGATCACAGTCACAGGCTACTGGAGACCTACTTATATCTATGTCTTCATTTATTTTAATTGATGCTCCTGTCCTATTGGCTGAAGGGGGGAGCTAACCCATTAGTTAAATGCTGCCATGGTTAGCCAAAGAAAAATTATGAACAAAAACATAGTGGAATCAAATATGGATTTTAAACAGGAGAAATTGTCTTTTTTCTGTATTGCAAATACATGTGTTTTCTTTTCTTTACAACTCTTTCGAGACATGAACAGAAAATGTTTCCTTTTTCACTTGGACTTTGCAAGTCATTAATTGCCACTGCATATTTCTTCAAATGTATATTATAGTCTTCCCATAATTTATATTTCAAAAATATCTATAATCTACTACTCTAAAGTTGCTCCAAAGTAATTAGCCGTATTTATGAAAGATTTGTGCTTAACAGGGTGAAACAGGAGAAGTTGGTTCTCCAGGAGCTCCTGGACTTCCAGGCAGCCCAGGTCGCATCGGGGAGAGAGGATTAGATGGACAACCTGGACTACCTGGTCCTGAAGGACCACCCGGCCCACCAGGGTTACCAGGGTACTCTGCAGCAGGGGCCTCCACTGCCCTTGATGAAGACAATAAGGTGAGGAGTATAAGAATAGATGTAAAAGGTTGACCATGATTTGTATATTGTATATTTAATATAAACTATTTTCTTTAAAATGGGAATATTTTTCTTCCCATTGATATTACAAAATAGAGGCTTGCAAACATAAATAGATATGCTTTTTCCATTCTCCATTATCTCTTAAACATAAGGCTCATTTATTGAGCCTTGTTAATGCTTCTGCTATATTCAAGTAATAGAAGATCCACCGCCCTTATTGCAGAATCTTATATCTAGTCGGAAATGGTGGGATAGTGCATATTCTCTTTCTTGAGTGCAAAAGCACTCGAAGCTGGTCATCAGTTATGAATATACCTAAATAATTACCGATTAATTTAACTAAGCTATAAAGTCATGTGGTGTATGGCAGGAATGGGATACTACAGACGGGTTACCTTAAAAAATCCCTAAAACACATAGTATTAGAGAAGTCTATCATCTCGCCCATCAACTGCTTAAGTTGTATGACCTTCCCCTGCCATCTCCCATCTATTGGGCGCCTTCCTCCCAAACATCCCTCCCATCCTTTCAAATATATATATAGATCATTTAATTTCTTTTAGTGTAATTTCCAAATATGAATTCATGCATATTTCTACATTTTACACAAACCTTATTATAATTTTAGTGTTAACTTTTGTAAATATTTATATTAATTAAGTTGTGATTTTTATTGAGTCTATTATTCTATGTAAGGTTATATATATGTACATTAATTCAGTACGTACACACGTATATACCTACATATGCACAAATGTATGCATACAAATACACACTTACACATAAATATATGCACAATTAAATTTCTTTCATATTTCTAAAGTTTTCTTTTTTTCCCATTTTTTCCCTCCTCCCTCTTTATCTTATTATATATCAATTATTATCTACTGAGCTGCTTGTTTTTATATCTGTGTTTCATTCTTCACTTATTGATTCTATAAGTCGGCTATTATATATAGCATTCCATTAACCCTTTTCCCATTAGTGGGAATAACATTTCTCCCATTTCCAACCTACTTTGCCCATCAATTTTATTCATCTGCATCGTTTAATAATGTATATCTCTCTTTTCTAAACCTTAATTTTCTTTTTTATTTTACCTAGGTCCCTTTCTCTTCTCCTTCCCCTCACCTCATTTCCCCTCTTTTGTTTACCCAACTCTTATTACTAACAATGTTCTTTGCCAATTAACAAAAAGTATGAAGGAGAAAAAAAGAGGTAAAAATGAGAAAAATACTGGTATATCTACTAAAGTGCGTTCATCTGTGTCACAGCTCCTTTTTTCTTTTCTTCCTCTGTGGATGTGTTATCCATGGTTGATTCAGGAGTTGTGGTGTTGCAATCCCCTCTTTCAGTACTCTTGACCATTCTTGTATGTTTGGAACTTAGATTTGTAGCTTTTCACAGAACTTTGGAACGTCTTTAGGGGTTTTAACAACAAATATATCCAAGTCTCTCTTGACTGTTATATTTAATGGGAAGCCCCATCGAAATAGGATGTTTTTTCATTTAATAAATCAGTTAATGGTTTATCTTTGTCTTGCCAATAGTGTTGAGCATGATATATCAGGAAAAATCTGAATCGTTGCTTCTCTATACTGTATGCTCTATTGTTGTTTAGTTTTTCTCAGTATTCCTTCTTTTAGAGCATATGAGTGAAGACCGCATACAATATCTTTTGGGATGGAATTAGATATTTCTTTAGGCTTTAGAATGCGATGCGCTTAGTCGAGCAGATATTATGCAGTATCTTCTCCGGTGTGCTCGGTGTCCTTGCCGTTTCTTATTCATTCTTGGTCAGTCGGAGGGGAGATTGATAGGGGCACCAGAAAGGATTTAAATCTTTGTGTTGCTTCTTTCTTCTCCTTCTTAGTAGTATTGGGGATGGAGTTGGCTTTTTTGTTTTTGTCCATTTATTTATTTTTTTGGTATTAGGTCTTGTGGATCTCTTCAGACGTTCGGTCCTTCCTAATAGCTCGCTGGCTCTGGACCTCGTCAAAGCATGTGCTCTCACATCTTTTTCTGTTCACGCTCTAAGATCTATTGACTTTCCTTTCCCACTGTGTATTTGTCCCTCATTCATTTAGGTTGTAAGCTTGTTTGGGCAGCACCATCTTCATCTACTGTTCCCATATGTGAAGTGTTTTGTTAGAATAATTTGTATGTGTTGTTTTAGCTATTGTACAGCGCAGCAGAATAAAAATGTGTAATTATAATGTGTATAATAATTTGTATAATAATGTGTAACATAATGTGTATATAATATATAACTTCAAAAAGTAATAGTTGTGTTGCCTCATATTTTATGCGTTCGTCAAACACAAGGTACTTTCAAAAAAACTACATACAATTATTTATTTTTTGCAGGTTTTTCCAGCAGTGGCTGGCCCTCCAGGGCCTGAAGGACAACGTGGATCTATGGGGTTTCCAGGCCCACCAGGATTACAAGGACCTGAAGGGCCACAAGGTCCCCCGGGGACTCCAGGACTTCCGGGTCTTTCTGGACATCCTGGAAATTCTGGTCCAGAAGGACCACGAGGAGAAGTAGGTCCTGTGGGTCTACCAGGTCCAAGAGGTTTTCAAGGGGCACCTGGGCCACAAGGCTTTGAGGGCCAGAGAGGACCTGAAGGCCAAAGAGGACCAGAAGGACCACCAGGACCTCAGGGACCCTCAGGAATACAGGGAATGCAGGGACTCCCTGGCTCAGAAGGGACCCCTGGCATGATCGGATTACCAGGTTTGCCAGGAATGGATGGATCTCAGGGTCCTCCAGGTCCTGAGGGTCCAGAAGGCGCTGCTGGAATACAAGGTTTACCCGGGACAAAGGTACTGTAGCAGCTGAACAAATAATTTCTTCCATATAACATTTTTATGTGTTTACTTTCTTAAGGTGTATTGTTTTCGATATATGAATAACATATTGGTAATCAATGTAACATAAATCCTGAAAAATATTCAAAACTTGACCTCTGAACAAGAAGAACTGGATGGTTAAATATATGCAACATTTGGTTCTCACCATGTCCATTTGATCAGTCATCAATATCTCATTTAAAAAAAAAACGGGCAACAGGATTATAGCTTACGGTAAACATTTTTAGTGGCATATATTCTAGGAACAACACATTTCATGTACAATGGTGCCACTCATCTGATCTGACAGCAAATGTAATTTCTGGACAATAGTACATAGAAGAGGATTGTCATAAATTATGTTACTTGTGCAGCATCTGAGATATTGATCAGTATTGCATAACTTCCAGTAATAGAAGACATCAGAAAAAGACAATGGCACCATGCATCCACTGGCCTTATCGCAGAATCCTATTTCTAGTCGGAAATGGTGGAATAAGTGTCCCTATTTTGTGCCCAAATCCCTCTGTCCCCCTTTTCTCTCCTAATGTCCCTCTTTTCTAGGGGCGCTCTATATTGTTGGTGTGTCTGAGTATATAACAACGCTCCACAGCAATGATACTCCCAGTAATGTGTCTTTAAACGATAATAAATGCGTTTAGAAATCAGACTGTGTAATTAAGACACATTGTTCTTGTTCAAAATGACCTTTTAGTTGCATAAAGTGTTATTAGTAACTCACTTAAAATTTCCCAGAACAGACCCACTCAACCCCCTACTTACACCCCAAAAATTTAAATATCACTCTTTGTCCATTTGACACGATGGAAGGTATGGTAGTGGTCAGAAATTCCAAAATTGCCAAAGTAGCTGAATTAGAAAAATTCTCAAAGTTTATCTAGTTTTCAGTTTGGCTATTTGGCCTAAAATTAGAAGTTCACTATGAATTAACAGTAAATTCTTGGCAATTCTCACATTAGTAAATAACCCTGCAAGTGAAAAGTCCCTTTCTTTCTTTTGTTACAACTATTTTGACGTAAACCAGTTTGAGTAAGCACAATTACATCATTTTACACTGAGCAGCAAATTCTGGACCATATTCAAAACGCTTTGTGCTAAGACACATTTGTTTTCCGTGCTATAAGGCACTCTAAACATCATAGCCACTACAGTGCCTTTTTAACAAATCAATAGGCCATTTCCTGTACCCAATGGCAACAGTCCCTGGAACCCTGATGACTCCTGTAGAGTTAGAGTATAATAAAATACATCAATTATCTAAATACCATTATTTATGTTCTATAAACTTCCTTACTCTATTCTAGTCTAAGCTTCTGGTTCATGTAATGTAAGCATCTACAGATGAAAAAAATAATGGCTGCTGCTTTCCTTCATGTCCCAAACAATATTTATATATTAATGAAGTTATTTAGATTTTAACATTACATGTATAAGTAAGTGGGCTGCTTTTTCCCATCGTGGGTCCATCAGATTTTCGCTTCTCAAACATATTGTTTATTGCCCACAATTCATATGAACTCTACAACATTTTGATTAGCTCAGGAAATACCTATGTGAGCTAAGCCACAGCATCATTAAAGGATCACTATAGGGTCAGGAACACAAACATGTATTCCTGACCCTATAGTGTTAAAACCACTATCTAGCCCCCCTGGGCCCCTCATGCCTCCATAAATATAGCAAAATCTTACTGTATTTAAGCCAGAAGCTGTAGATCTGCATGCTGTTTGACTCAGAAAAAAAACAAGCTGCCTGCTGACATCATCAGAAGTGGTAGCCTGATCCAATCACAATGCTTCCCCATAGGATTGGCTGAGACTGACAAGGAGGCAGATCAGGGGCAGAGCCAGCATGATTCAAACACAGCCCTGGCCAATCAGCATCTCCTCATATAGATGAATTGAATCAATGAATCTCTATGAGGAAAGTTTCAGTGTCTGCATGCAGAGGGAGGAGATACTGAATGTTTGGATGCATTTTAGGCAGCTATGACCCAGGAAGGATTTCTAACATCTATCTGAGGAGTGGCCAGTGACGTTATCACTAGGCTGTAATGTAAACACTGCAGTTTCTCTGAAAAGACCGTGTTTACAGCAAAAAGCCTGAAGGTAATGATTCTACTCACCAGAACAAATTCAATAAGCGGTAGTTGTTCTGGTGACTATAGTGTCCCTTTAGTGGTATAGAAACCAGAGAAGGGAGTGTACAGGTGTAACACACTGTGGAGGAGTAAAACCTTGAACCTTGTACCTCGAAGATGTAAACTTATGTATATTTTTTTTTATTATTTGTTATTCATCACTTTCTTCTATTACTTTTATAGTGACTTCCTCAATGAATCTTTTTTTAATCCAACAGGGAGAGAAAGGTGATACGGGTATGCTAGGACTACCAGGTTCCATTGGCGCACCTGGTGAAAAGGGAGAAAGAGGTATGCCAGGTCAACCGGGATCCTCGGCTGACGCTAAGTGCTGCAATGTGAGTACCGAGTTGTATGTAGTAAATATCTGAAAAGCAAGTACAGAGCAGCGTATGGTTTAATAGAAATATAAAAATTTTATTTGTATGCAGGATAACGGCATTACGTCACCTCCTGAACAATATGTAGGACTTCCAGGATTAAAGGTGAGAATCATCTAAGTATATGCGTGTGCCATGTTATAAGAGGGTGCCCAAAAGTTCCAAACTGCAAATTCCATGATGATCCAACAGCCTTTAGTTCTAAAACATCTGAGATTATAACTTTTGGGCTTCCTTGCTGTAAGAATTCTTATACCACAATTGGATAATATATGACTGTGTAATAGAGTTTATGTGTTTAAACACACCTTGACACTCTTTACGCTTGCCACAAATACTCTAGAATTCACAGATAAAGCCAGGCTCTCCAATGACACATCCATCTATTCTGTGTATATAAAGAACACAAAAATATAAATCAATACATTCTTGGCCATAAGGCATGCTTTACAGTCAAAATACGTCAATAGATATTCAAGGATTTCTTTTTTTTTCCCACATCCCTTATGGATCCTACATGAGTCTACATGTATGTGGTAGAGGGAGGGAATAGCGCTTTAAGGAATTCTCAGATGATGATAAATGTGTAAAGAAATAAAAGAGAGAAAAAATAAACTATAGTGCAGTATCTGTGGTGTGAGTGGGTAGGAGAAAAAAAAGGAAAGGCACTTACAGTGTGTAGAGCTAGAATTAGCTCTACTTTAATACGCCAGGGGAGTTCAATCCCCGTCAGGGGAAATCGTATGTGTTCCTTAATCCAATGGCAAGTGTTCCAGAGAGCATGAGAAATAAACAGAAGACAAATCCCTATCTAGTGTAGTATATTAGGATACTGAAGTAGAATAAAAAATGTGTGGAAATACACTCATAATATACAGCCTCCAAATGACTCCCAGAAAGCAGCATAAAGTCCCCACTTAAGTATCTTGTTAGCTGGTAGGAGATCTTGTGATGTATTATGTAGATAAAAACAGAAGATAAAAGGTATAGTGCTCACTGGTATTAAAAAATTTTATTGGAGCAAAATATTGGGTTTTTTTTCTCAGTCCAGAGGGCCCAGGTGGGTGGTGCCTTCCCCACCAAAGGAAAAGGTTTTCTGGCTCCAAAGAAAAGTGAGGGTAGGTCCAGAGGTATTATTAAAAAACAACTGATTTATTAGCTCTAAAAAATAAATATTGAGAAAACCTTGTTGAAGATGAAATGTGTTAATGATTACTATATTGCTTTAACTTTTATATTTATTTTTAAGAGCTAATAATCAGTTACCATCAACATTCACAACACCCACGACCCAACCTTATGAATTGCTGTCTTCCTGAAAAACCATTCTTGAATCCTTGAACTCCAAAGAAAACTTGATGACTCCTAAAATAAGGTTCCACCGTATGAGTCACATTTCCCCCTCTCTCTGTAAACTTTGCCAACTATGCAAGTCGAGATTTCAAGGTGAAAAAAAACCATAAGCATGCTGCATTGCAAGGTATTCAATGAAACCCTGCCTAACTACGACATGACCATTCTTTAATATCAGATGGTTGATTGGATAATCAGCTGCTTGATGTGAAAAGAAATTAAAAACTAGAATCCTAATGTCCCCCACTACCTATCAAGATTTGGGGCTTAAGAACACCACATTTGGGACATTCATCCCCACCAAAGCTCCCCCCACAGCCATGTTTTTGCCACCTAATTAATTTTGAGTGTGATGACACACTAAATGCGCTGGTTTAAACTTTTCATTTTTAAAATCACAATCCGTATTACAGAAATATTAAGACTAACTTTAGATGTCAGTTGTCTGGATGAAGGCAGCATTGATTATTCTGAAACATTCATGGTGACATCCAAATAAATAAGTTAAAGTGTTTATAGGACTGGTATAGCAACAAAGATCACTACATAACCTACCACCAGTTGTCTTAATTACTCTGTCTATAAAATAAATTCGGTCCAGGCACACAGGACTGCTGCAGGAAGGCAGGTTTATTGGAACAAAAAAGTGCAACGCTTGATAAAGCCTCTGTGTAGGCCGAAACGTTGCACTTTTTTATTCCAATAAACCTGCCTTCCTGTAACAATCCTGAGAGCCTGGACCTTATTTATTTTATCTTCTAAACTAGGTTTTGCCAACCCTGGCCCTGATAAGCACCTGGATTCCTGAGTGTGAGTGCGGTATCCTCCGTTTGTGAATTACTCTGTCTGACAGCAGTCTGCCATACAATCTTATTAATGCACAATAGCCCACCATTAAATACACATAGAAGGCAAGTCTATAGAGTTATCAACCATACAATCACTTGGTTTGGTTTTATATAGATTATGCAAGAAAGTAACAAAAACTTAAAAAAAAGTAGAAATGATACTCAACTTTGAGGTTTCTGCAACCCCCGGGGTTTGCATCTTCTTCAGTAAGCTCTCCCCACACAAGAAAATAGTTGTGTACTGTATAAAGCTTAGGTTGCATTGGTCCTTTAAAGATGAATTATGACTTTTCATTGAAAATCAGTTCGTGATGAAAGGATACTATAGTGCCAGGAATACAAAGCTGTATTCCTGGCACTATCGCTCCCCCCTCCCTCGCACGCCACCGTCCCCACTGAATAACTGGTTAAAGCCCTTTATTTACTCACCTGATCCCAGTGCCAACGTCCCTAGGCGCTGGGCCATGCTCTGCCTCCTCCTCTGTCCTGCACGAGCATTAGACCTCCCCATGGGAAAGATTTAAATCAATGCTTACCTATGGGGAAAAATCTGACGCTGGAGGTCTCTCATGCAGAATGTGAGGACATCCAGCACCAGATACCGGATCAAAGGTCTGTTTCAAACCAGGAAGCCCTCTAGAGGCTGTTTAGTTCTCTGGAACTGCAATGTGTTACATTGCAGCACTAAGGGCAATAGGGACAGTGAACCCAGACCACTTCAATGAGCTGAAGTGGTCTAAGTGACTACATTATTATTATTATTATTTTATTATTTATATAGCGCCAACAAATTCCGTAGCGCTGTACAATGGGTGGACTAACAGACACATAATTGAGATCAGACCACTGACGTACAGGAACAGAGGGGGTTGAGGGCCCTGCTCGATGAGCTTACATGCTAGAGGGAGTGGGGTATAGTGACACAAAGGGTTAAAGTAGGGGAATTAAATAGTTTGTTACAGAAGGGTTTATTGAGTGCTTGGTAGGTCATTTTTGACAGGTGCAGGAACGGAGTCATGGGTTGGGGGATGAGAAACCTGCTGACAGTTTAATTGATACGCTTTAATGAAGAAGTGAGTTTTCAAAGATTTTTTGAAGGAATGGAGGCTGGGTGAAAGTCTGATTGAGGAGGGAAGGGAGTTCCACAGAATAGGTGCAGCCCTGGAGAAGTCTTGAAGGCGAGCATCAGAGGTGGGGATCCGGGCAGAGGATAGGAGTAGGTCTTGGGCTGAGCGCAGGGGTCTCGACGGGACATACTTGTGTATGAGGGAGGATAGGTATGTTGGAGCAGCATTATGTAGGGATTTGTAAGCAAGCGCCAGAATTTTGAATTGGGCCCTATATCTAACTGGAAGCCAATGCAGGGACTGACAGAGCGTGGAGGCGTGGGAGGTGCGACCGGACAGGAAAATAAGCCTCGCAGCTGTATTCATTACAGATTGCAGCGGTGCAAGCTGGGAACATGTAAGGCCGGTGAGAAGGGGATTGCAATAGTCAAGGCGAGAGAGAACAACAGCATGGACCAGTACCTTAGCCGCGTCCGGCGTTAGATATGGGCGGATGCGCGCTATGTTCTTGAGTTGGAAGCGACAGGATTTGGCTATCGATTGAACATGGGGAGTAAAAGAGAGATCAGAATCAAAAAGAACTCCTAGGCAGCGAGCCTGGGAGGTAGAGGTGATAGTAGCGCCGTTGACTTGGATGGCGACAGACACAGGAGTAGCAGCACTTGAGGGAGGAAAAACTAGAAGTTCTGTTTTGGACAGGTTGAGTTTAAGGAAGTGAGCAGCCATCCAGTTGGAAATAGCAGAGAGGCAGTCAGAAACACGAGTCAAGGTGGGCGGAGAGAGATCAGGGGAGGACAGGTAGATTTGCGTGTCATCTGCATATAAATGGTATTGGACGCCAAAAGAGCTGACGAGTTTACCAAGGGAGGCAGTATAGATAGAGAACAGTAGGGGGCCGAGACAGAACCTTGGGGGACGCCGACAGGGGAGAAGAGGCAGAGCCAGAGAAAGAAACACTGAAGGAGCGCTGGGAGAGGTAGGAGGAGCACCAGGAGAGAGCAGTATCCCGTAGACCAAAGTTACGGAGAATGTGAAGAAGCTGTTGATGATCAACAGTGTCAAAGGCGGCAGAAAGATCAAGGAGGATTAGGATAGAGTATTGGCCGCGAGATTTAGCAGCAATTAAATCGTTGGATACTTTGGTCACAGCAGTTTCGACAGAGTGACCAGCGCGGAATCCAGACTGAAGGGGGTCAAGCAGAGAGTTGGATTCAAGAAAGTCTGTCAATCTGGCGTAGACAACTCTCTCGAGGATCTTGGAGGCAAATGGCAGTAGCGAGATAGGGCGGTAGTTGGATGGGGAGTTGGGATCAAGGTTGGGCTTTTTCAGAATTGGGGTTACGGTTGCATGTTTGAAGGCAGAGGGAAATGTGCCAGAGGAAAGGGAGAGATTGAAAATGTTAGCGAGAGGAAGAGCAAGAGAGGGAGACAAAGTGCGGATGAGATGCGAGGGAATAGGATCGAGGGAGCAGGTGGTGGGGCGGGAGGACAGGAGCAGAGCAGAAACCTCTTGTGCTGTAGCAGGTGCAAATGAGCTTAGGATGACAGGGGGAGTGGGGTTGGGTGATGTATTGATACTGGTTTGTCCCTTTAACCTTTTTTCATGTGTAAATCTGTATTATGGATTTACCAATTAAAGTGGCAACTCCTACCACCAACACGAGTATTTCATAACGATAACATCTTTATTAAATACTCATATTGACTGTGTGTTAGTCTTTTCTGAAATTGTATTACCCTTTAAAACCATGACACTGCTGTCTTTACAGATAGGGTGAATTTGAAGGGAAGCTACAATATAGCGCCATCTAGTGAAAAAATAAGAGGAAGCAAGTCAAAAGACTTAAGAAATAATATGTATATTCAGCCACGGGGAGGGACAGCAAATGCTGCACACTCTCAAAGTTGGAGAGGGAGCCTTGGAGGCTGTTCATCTGTTCCTGCACGCCTGAGTCCTCTCACCCTTGCAAGCCGAGACTGTCAGAGCATTGTCGCAGGTTACCATGGCAACAAATTGATGCTGAACTCTTCACACACACACACATAAAAAAATACCCAAATTACAAATATACAAGAGTGGTTAGCACTACATCACACAGTCCACAATATTACCAGCATGCTGATTCTGTCGGACTGTGTTTCTGATTAATACATACAGTCACCTCCTAGTTCTGCAACCTGCATCATAGTATTTACAAGGCTGTTCTTCACATTTAAGTTAAAGCCACCTTATCAAAATGCTTTAGATGTCAAATCGTTTTGAATAGTTGCTCTGTTACATAGTATTGTATATGTTCTATATTTTTACTATTTTTTAAGATGTAGATTCAGAAGGTAAGAATGCTGGGTATTTCCTTTTCACAATTATTATTTTGAGAAAATGTAATAATGTGAGAACTATTAAATATTGCATTATTTCAGAGATGCACCATTTCATAGTTTATTTATAGCTTTGTATACTGGACTTGATGACTGGTACCTTCATGGGGTTTAACAAAAACAAATGTATTAAAGTAACGTTCCAAGCAACATAACCACTGCAGTGATGCGAGAGCACTAATGGCACCAGTGTTCTGTAGTGGTTATGGTGCTTGGCGTTTTCCTTTAAGGATGCTGTGTCATTTTTTTGGTTCAAGTTGATATCAGGGGTTATTTTTCTTTGTTTGTTTTTTCGTTATTTTTTTTTTGTGGTTCCTATTGTATTCTTACATTTATTATAATTAATATTATCTTATAGCTATGATTTATTGAATTGTTCTTGTTTGTTTGATTTTCAGGGAGAGAAGGGTGACCCAGGAGAGGTATGTATTTAGATAAATAGCTTATCTACACAGAGCCGTCTCACCTAAAATAAGTCATTCTCCATACTCTGTCCATTATGGTACACGTCCTAGCATCCAGCTCCAGCATACAGTGTAAGACCTGCAACTGTTACTATATATGCACTCCTAACTTATCTTAATTAAAGACGCATGTCATTCCGGTGTTGGAAAAAAACTGCAAAGAACATAGGACAGTTTTACTCTTTGAGTTGTCATGTCTTCGTTTATTAAGAGCTATTTTCATCCACCATGATTTTATTGGTCTCATTCACATGAATACAGTGATTTTTACTGGCAGATAAGTGTCGTTCTATAGAAAACTTGCCAAATGCAATAGGTCTAGTTTGTGAATTTACAAGAATGTCATTATTTCTAAGGGCTGTTCCAGTTGCCATGAAGACAATCAAATAGTGATCCCTGGTCCCCCAGGTCCTGTTGGGCCTCCTGGGCTACCTGGTTCCCCAGGGCTACCTGGACCCCCTGGACCTCCAGGCGAACGAAGTGTTTCTGAAACAAACATCCCCACAGAGGTTAGTACAAACAGTACAAATGTAAAACTTTACGTACATTTATATTATAATGTTAATTATGATCAATAAATCTATCGATTTATTAATTGATATGATTTTCTATTAGAGAAAATCCTCTCTGTAAATGTCTATGCTTTCCAATATAAAAACCTATATTTTCTTTAAGCACAATGAGATTGAAAATGTATTGCCATTGCAGAACCACCATAACTAGAGTTATTTTTATATGAAATCAATGTAAAATTATATGCTTTAACGGGACACTATACAGAACAACTACAGCTTATTGAATTTGTTCTGTTAAGTAGAATCATTACCGTCAGGCTATTTGCAGTAAACACTGTCTTTTCAGAGAAAATGCAGTGTTTACATTACAGCCTAGTGATAACTTCAATGGCCACTCCTCAGATAACTGTTAGAGATCCTTCCTGGGTCATGGCTGCCTAAAATGCACCCAAACATTCAGTATCACCTCCCTCTGCATGCAGACACGGAACCTTCCTCATAGAGATTCATTGATTCAATTAATCTCTATGAGGAGATGCTGATTGGCCAGGGTCGTGTTTGAATTGTGCTGGCTCTGCCCCTGATCTGCCTCTTTGTCAGTCACAGCCAATCCTATGGGGAAGCATTGTGATTGGATCAGGCTACCACTTCTGCTGATGTCAGCAGGCAGTGGGCAGGTCTGAAGGAAAAAGGGACAAAGTAAGCAGCTGCAGACTTGGATACAAGTACTATATTTACGGAGGCATGAGGGGACCAGGGTGGCTAGATTGTGGTTTTAACCCTAGGGGGCAGGAATACATGTTTGTGTTCCTGACCCTATAGTGCTCCTTTAACATTCCACAGGGTGCAACTGCATTGAGCCCATAGACCCTTCGGATCACTGACATCATCTTTCATAGGTTTACAGAAATAGAGATACCGATGATTTAGGGTCTCCCATGATAATTTCCCACTTCAGGGCAGTATTGATTAAAATAAACAGATGCTAATTTTAATCATGATCTAACACTAGGCATGGTAAAGGCAGGGCTTCCATAGTACCCTCTTTTAAATGTAGCAAGGTTTAGACAGAGATTGACCAGGATTGTGAGATCTGTACCACCAACCTCACAGTCTTCTTCCCTCCCACTGAACCAAATGGCCTTGAAACCTGTGGATTTCTCATCCACCTAAACCATGGTTCGAGTAGATTGACAAAAATAAAAGTTGTTTGACAGTCATTTGATACTTCCACATTGTATTGTAGAAATATTATAAAAAAGTAACATATAACATTTCCATCTCTAATCAATACCATAAATGGCATTATTGTGGTTGGGAGGTTGACTTTTCTGGATCTGACACTAAAAACTATATGAAGTAACATTTAATGGTTTCTTCCCCATAGGACAGCAGATCAGACGTATATGGCTCCCTGCTCTTTTCTGTGAGTTAAATCGATGTTTTTCTGTGCATTAATTTACATATCAGAAAACCACATTGACTATTATAGTGTCTATTTAAGGTCTATCAGTCACATTAGTCTCATTACAGGAGCAACTTTATAATAAAGGGCCATACAAAGCTACAAATACACAATGGACACATATAAGAGATAGATAATAAATATTTCATGGAGTTTTATGGGCAGGGTGAGAAAATGGAGCAATGTATACACCATAGGATAGGAAAGGTGCTATCTAGGGGAAAAAGAGAATGGCGTAAATGACGAGAAGATGTGGAGAGAAGAATTGTGTGGCAGATGAGAAGCTACAGGAAGGACAATGAGGGATCTGAAACGATAATAAAATTCTGAAAGATAAGGAGCGGTGTAGAGCATGTTGAGATGGTGGAGAAAGACATGGAAGAGACATACACAGAGTCGATGAAAATCATATGAGAAACTTGAGGAAAAAACGGTGTGGAGCAAAAGGGAGGGCAATAGTTTAGAGGGTAAATATGGTGGAAAGGATACTTACTGAGAAGAAAAAGAGGTTGGAGAAAAAACACATATGAAGGATAAAGAGAAGGATCAATGAAATGAGATTGACATAAGAACATTGATGTGAGGAAGGGAAGATGAAAATGGGGTAAAGGTTGAAGTATTTTTACAATGTATCTGTGCATATGTGAATTTAATGCTGTGATGATGAGATAATACAATTTTTGTAGACACTCTGTTGCTGAATATGTCTTCTTAAAAGAACTGTAGTTGTGACCCTATTACTAAATACTTGGAGTTTGAACCATGTCTTGTTTAATAATGAGATTTTGAAACAATCCATTGTTTTTTTAGGGTGTTCCTGGAAGTCCTGGATTACCAGGCCCACCTGGGCCTCCTGGATCTCCTGGAGTGGTTTATGTTAATGTAAGTTTTGGTCTCTTGGACTCACAGGTCATTGGACACTGTTCATTCTCCTCAATAACTTTATAGTAGCAGAAATAAATGTGGGAATCTGTATGTGAAAAGCAATCCAGGGAAGCTTTTTTTTCTACAAGGCTGTAAGAAAAAAAACTTGTACAGTACAGTAATCATATTATACATCGAAAAATAAAACAGTAATGTAGTAATACAGTGTGCTAAACAATCAAAAAAGACACGGCTGAGAATAACACAGTAAAGGTATGATCTTGGAGGTGGTAATAATATTATCCAGACACCAAACAAAAAAGGCTGGGGTTTTTTCAATTTGAATTTTTTTTTTTTTTTTTTTGTCAGAACAGAAGGGGAGGGGTACAAAAAGGAAGAAGGGGGGTGCAAGGTATTTAATCAAATTATCACAATTACACTGTGTGTTCACTATGGTTACACAATATACTTAATCTCACCAATAATCAGATATTGAGGCTGGACAATACAAATACAAAAAAATTGCTGTAACAGTGTGGGTGCCAGTACAAATCTGTCTCTATACACCTCTCGATTGGTTCGGTGCTCTGTGGGCCTAGAGTGTGAGAAGAGTCGTTTCTAAACGGAAAGAAATACTTTAGGGGATGTGTCGCAGTCCGACAACTTACATAATGAGACCCTGAGTACTCTTGGGTACACAAACGGGTTTCAACTGTGGTACCAATGATATCTGTCAAATGCCTAAGTGTGGATTCAACCGAGTACAATGTAACATAATATGTTGTAACATAGTATATGGTAACCTAGTATGTTAGGGTGCCAATCTCCATGCGCTTCACTGCTACCAGGTGAGGCTCTTCTTTTTAATAAGCTTGCAGTCACTACTCTGCTTATGAAAATAAAAAGAGAGGGTGAGGAATAGAACTAGGCCCTAATACCTATTTACATATTGTGCCAAGGCACAGCCCTAGGCTAAGAAACCGAAGAGTAAATGAGGAAGTAAGAGTGGGCCACAAGGAGCAGAGGCATCTAGAAGATGGAAGACACATTTTAAAAAATATCCCAGGAGGTTATAGTTCCCTTTTCGCTATTTTGAATTAAAATTTCAAAATTCACTGTGAATTCTCAAAAATTCACAGTGTAGCGGATAAGCCTTTAAGCATTTGTTTATTCCTGATTTATTTTCACAAACAATGCTACATTTTATATGTCTGTCCCTTTATATTTCTAGCTGTAACCTTCTGTGGGGAATTAAGATCAAAGTACTTTTGCTGTCCTCTTTACATTTCTAATTTTCGCATTCACACTGCCTAATTATTCTTCAATGCATTCTTCAATTCTTCAATGCCTTAAATACATGTCTGACCTAACGGTTCAAAAACAAGTAAGTGGTGCTAACTGTGAGAATGCATGTCTTTGCAGAGAGTGTACCCAGTTCCTCCTCGGCCCCATTGCAAGCACTCGGTAAGTTGACAAAGCAGTCACCAGTAGCTGTGCGTGGTGGAGCTAAGCACAAATTGGATTCTGCATAGGGTTAAAGGGACACTATAGGCTCTGCAGCTGCGTCATCTCATTGAGGTGGTCACAGTGTCTGGATTCCTTTGGTGCTGTCAGTGTTAAACCGTTTTAATGTTTTAATGTTAAACAAGAGTCCCCAGCAGCCTGCTTGGATTAATGAGGAAGCATTAGCCTGAGAAGCAATTGGGCAGCTGTGATTGGCTTTCAGCTTATCACAGCACTCTTTGCTGGGATGAATTAGTATAATAAGAAGGAAGTGTGTAATCTCTGCTTTAGCTACAACTCCAGTAGGGGCTGGACTGTGTGTGGCCATAGACTCTTATTAAGAGTTAAAAGGGACACTCAAGGCACCCAGACCATTTCTTCCCATTGGAGAGGTCTGGGTGCCAACTCCCATCACCCTTTTTATAAACTGTAATAATTACCTTGCAGGGCTAAGTACTTCTCTAGTGGCTGTCTGCCAGACAGCCACTAGAGGAACGTCCGGGTTCTTAAAATGACGTTTTAAACGACGCTGGACTTCCTAACGCTATGCATGAGGACCTCTAGTGTCGCTGGAATCCCCATAGAAAAGGAGAGGGGAAGGGAGGGAGAGGAACCTGCAGTTCCAGGGAAAAGGATATGTTTTCCTGGCACTGGAGAGTCCCTTTAAACTGCTTGAAAATGGTTTAACACTGAATGGAGGGAGAGCAGCAGCGGACGCCAGGCATTACAACAATTACAATTACCATTATGTATATAGCGATAAAATGGCCATGCCTACAATGTTCCTTTTAAAAGCATTTTGTAAGGACACAGACTTTGATAACTTTTAACGACTTTTGGTCGTCTAAACGACGCTGGACGTCCTCATGCTTTGTTACAAAGATTAGATTTTACAGTTTTAGGATTGGGAACAGATCTACCAGCCTTATTTATTTATAAACACCTGCAAACCAGTGTTCACTGTCTTTAATTTATGTAGGTACCCAAAACTGAATCAGTGGATACAGGTAAGATAGTCACCCCTTTAGCCTTGCTTCATTTTCTTGTCATTCTTTCTTTTCTTCATTAATATTAAATATTTCCTGCTATGTCTATCTCACACTTGATTCTGACCCATGTTTGCTACATGCTTAATGACTTGTGTTTTTCCCAAAGTCTCTGTTCCAGTTTCTGACGAAGCCCAGAAATATCTGAAGGTAATATAACTTTAACACCAACCAGTCTTCCATTATTCTATGTTATCCCATGCTTTTCAGTATTAAATCAGAGGGCAGTTTCATAGAGTACACAATATGTATTTGGTTCGGTTTAATAACATGTATCTAATGACAAAAAGTAGCCTATTATACAAGGCAATAATTAGCATAAACTTATAAAACAGTCAACTATAATATGCAATAAGAGCTGAAAAGCACTTGCTACATTAAACGTATTCTCCAGTGCCAGGAAAACAAACCTGTTATCCTGGCACTAGAGAATCCTGGAGTGCCGCCCTCCCTCCTGCCCCCCATCCCACGTCGCTGAAGGGGTTAAAACCCCTTCAGACACTTACCTGAATCCAGTGTCATCCATGCTCCTCAATGGCCGCGTGCACGCATTAGACCTCCCCATAGGAAAGCATTATTTAATGCTTTCCTTTGGTGATTCCGGCGATGCTGAAGGTCCTCATGCATAGCGTAAGGGCGTCCAGCGTCGTTTAGGCGACCAAAAGTTGTCTAAGAAGCCGGAAGTCCCTCTAGTGGCTGTCTGGTATTCATAGTGGTATTTGGCTTTACGGCCACTGGCTGGCCGAGTCGTGGTGTCGTGGTGGTGATCATAGGGATTGTATTATTAACCTGGTCCAAATACATATGCGTGTATGTTTCTTTAAACATATTCACATTCAATGGTGTAATAAGGGGGGGGCGGAGGGGGCGGTCCACCCCAGGTGCCACTGGGTGGGGGGTGACATGACCCCCATGGTCTGGGAGCTGGAGGGGGCTGTGTGAGCTGTACGGCTGCACAGTGCCCCATGGTAGTTAGGTTGCCGGGCGGCCAGAACAGCTCACACAAGCAAAGAGCAGCTGAACTGGCCGCAGGGAATGAAAGTGGGGGCGGGACTAAGCAAAATCGGGGGCAGAGAAAAATCGGCAGCGGGGGCTGCTGTTACATGGAGGTGCAGCAAGAAGGAATCCCTGCTCCTCCACCTAACAGGCTTCAGGGAATCCACTCCTCCTCCAGCTCCTGTCTATAAGTAATAGTGTGTGTGTGTGTGTGTGTGTGTGACTGTATGTGTAAAACTGTCTGCCTGTAACTGTGTGTGTGTAACTGTCTTCCTGTAAGTGTGTGTGTGTGTGTGTAACTGTCTGCCTGTAACTGTGTGTAATTGTGTGTGAATTGCATGCCTGTAAGAGTGTGTTTGTGTGTGTGTGTGTGTGTGTCTGCATGCCTGTAACTGTGTGTGTGTGTGTGTGTGTGTGTGTGTGTCTGCATGCCTGTAACTGTGTGTGTGTGTCTGTCTGCCTGTAACTGTGTGTGTGTGTGTGTGTCTGTATGTCTGCCTGTAACTGTGTATCTGTGTGTGTGTGACTGCAGGCCTGTAACTGTGTGTGTGTCTGTCTGTCTGTAACTGTGTATATCGTGTGTGTGTGTGACTGCATGCCTGTAACTGTGTGTGTGTCTGTCTGCCTGTAACGGGGGTGTGTGTGTGTGTGTGTGTGTGTGTGCCTGTGACTGTGATGTTGCCTGTAACTGTGTGTGTGACTGTAACTGTGTATGTGTGTGTGACCCTGTGACTGTGAGTGTGTGTCTGTCTGTCTGTAACTGTGTATGCGTGTGTGTGTGTGACTGCATGCCTGTAACTGTGTGTGTGTCTGTCTGCCTGTAACGGGGTGTGTGTGTGTGTGTGTGTGTGTGTGCCTGTGACTGTGTGATGTTGCCTGTAGCTGTGTGTGTGACTGTAACTGTGTATGTGTGTGTGACTCTCTGCCTGTGACTGTGAGTGTGTGTCTGTCTGTCTGTAACTGTGTATGTGCGTGTGTGTGTGTGACTGCATGCCTGTAACTGTGTGTGTGTCTGTCTGCCTGTAACGGGGTGTGTGTGTGTGTGCGTGTGTGCCTGTGACTGTGTGATGTTGCCTGTAAATGTGTGTGTGACTGTAACTGTGTATGTGTGTGTGACTCTCTGCCTGTGACTGTGTGTGTGACTGCCTGGCTATGACTCTGTGTGACTACCTGTGTGTGTGACTTTGTGACTGTCTGCATGTGACTATGTATGTGTGACTGTCTGCCTGACTGTTTGGTGTTGCCTGTAACTGTGTGTGACTATCTGTCTGTGACTGTGTGCATGTGACTGTCTGCTGCTGCCTTTTACTGTGTGTGTGAATGTATATGTGATTGTCTGCCTGTAACTGTGTGCATGACTGTCTCTGTCTGTATGTGTGACTGTCTGCCTGTAACTGTGTGTGACTGTATGCCTGTAACTGTGTGTGTGTGTGACTGTCTGCCTGTAAATGTGTGTGTGTGGGGCTGCAGGGATTTTGTAGAAGGGGACAGGGGTTTTGTATTGGGACAGGAGTCTTTATAAGGGGATTTGTGGAAGGGGGATTGCAGGGGTTTTGTAGATGGGGGCAGTACAGGATTTGTAGACGGGGCGGGACAGGAGTTTTGTAGGAGGGGGCGGGGCACACAAGGGTTTTGTAGAAGGGGTCTGACAGCGGTTTTGCAAAGTTTCCAAATTTGTTCAATACATAAAAAAAACTTAAAAAAGGAAAACATTTTTAAAATGTTACAGGTTTTGGGGTTTTTTGGGGTGAGGGGATCTGCCCCGGGTGCCAAATGCTCTAGGTATGCCCCTGTTCACATTGGATATTTTAGGTATGTTTGTCAGATTTCCTGTGGTATTGGTGTACTATTCATGTATGCAGAGTACTCCTATTTTCAAGGTTCCAAAACTATGTTTTTATGTATGTATTAAAAAGGCTTGAACATTTACAGAATGTTGAGATTTGCTATTAATACAACAAGGATTCACCAATGTTCCAGGTAGAGAGTTTCATCTTCCAGACTAAAAAGGAGATGATTGAGGCATGGGAAGAGGTAACAGAAGGCAGCTTGGCATATGTACGGGAGCAGAACGGTGCCTTCTTCAGGACTAATGTAGGATGGAGCAAAATAGTGGTAAGTTCCAAGCATTTTGCACATTTCTTTGTCAGTTAATGTTAAAGGAATGAGAACTAACGAGGATGGTAATCCCCTAAAGATAGGAGGAAAAAACAGCCCCACAGGGAGTACCTCTAGATAAAATACAATATAGGGTAAAAGGTTTATTGAGAAAAGCACATACTATACATAAAAAAATACAAAAAAGGTGCTCGTGCAACCTAGAAGTGATTATAGAAAAGTGTACAGAAGGTGATGGTAGAATGACTGCTGAATCTCTATCCAAAATCCAAAAGTGTACCTCAGAAACGTGCGTCGAGCTGTCAATGCATGTACTTTGCTTTTATTTACACTTGATTTGATTCACGGTGATTTGACTCTGATACCTAACTTCTCCTATTACTACATATAACCTTTCCCTATACCTCCACCTATTACTCCATATAACCTCTCCCGATAACTCCTCCTATTACTCCATATAGCCTCTCTCTATAACTCCTCCTATTACTCTATATAACCTCTCCCTATAACTCCTCCTATTACTCTATATAACCTTTCCCTATACCTCCACCTATTACTCCATATAACCTCTCTCTATAACTCCTCCTATTACTCCATATAACCTCTCTCTATAACTCCTTCTATTAATCTATATAACCTCTCCCTATAACTCCTCCTATTACTCCATATATCCTCTCCCTATAACTCCTCCTATTACTCCATATAACCTCTCTCTATAACTCCTCCTATTACTCCTAATTACTCCATATAACCTCTCCCTATAACTCCTCCTATTACTCCATATAACCTCTCTCTATAACTCCTCCTATTACTCCATATAACCTCTCCCTATAACTCCTCCTAATACTCCATATAACCTCTACCTATAACTCCTCCTATTACTCCATATAACCTCTCCCTATAACTCCTCCTATTACTCCATATAACCTCTCCCTATAACTCCTCCTATTACTCCATATAACCTCTCCCTATAACTCCTCCTATTACTCCATATAACCTCTCTCTATAACTCCTCCTATTACTCCATATAACCTCTCCCTATAACTCCTCCTATTACTCCATATAACCTCTCTCTATAGCTCCTCCTATTACTCCATATAACCTCTCCCTATAACTCCTCCTATTACTCCATATAACCTCTCTCTATAACTCCTTCTATTAATCTATATAACCTCTCCCTATAACTCCTCCTATTACTCCATATAACCTCTCCCTATAACTCCTCCTATTACTCCATATAACCTCTCCCTATAACTCCTATTACTCCATATAACCTCTCTCTATAACTCCTCCTAATACTCCATATAACCTCTCCCTATAACTCCTCCTATTACTCCATATAACCTCTCTCTATAACTCCTCCTATTACTCCATATAACCTCTCCCTATAACTCCTTCTATTACTCCATATAACATCTCTCTATAACTCCTCCTATTACTCCATATAACCTCTCCCTATAACTCCTCCTATTACTCCATATAACCTCTCCCTATAACTCCTCATATTACTCCATATAACCTCTCCCTATAACTCCTCTAAGTTACTCCATATAACCTCTCTCTATAACTGCTCCTATCACTCCATATAACCTCTCTCTATAACTCCTCCTATTACTCTATATAACCTCTCCCTATAACTCCTCCTATTACTCTATATAACCTCTCTCTATAACTCCTCCTATTACTCCATATAACCTCTCCCTATAACTCCTCTTATCACTCTATATAACCTCTCTCTATAACTCCTCCTATTACTCCATATAACCTCTCCCTATAACTCCTTCTATTACTCCATATAACCTCTCCCTATAACTCCTTCTATTACTCCATATAACCTCTCCCTGTAACTCCTACTAAATCACATAACTGCCAACTATAACTATTTGCTAATGTTTATTGTTACCAGTTACAGGATTCTGACTCCAATCTCCCAGCAGATGAGCCATTTGAGCATGGTGAATTTACAGTGAGTACAGTATTACAATCATTTATTTTCAAACACTCACACAGTAACACGTGACGTACTTTACTGCATGGAAGTTATTTACTAAGCACTGCATCTACAAAACTGCAACATTTGATTACAATATTCAGATTTCATTAAAAATCCTGTATCTACAAATGCTGACAGCATTCTATGTATAAATTAGACTCCTAAAATTGCATATAATTTAATTAGAGCTAATCTGTGTCTTATGAAAAAAGGTCAAATCCAGTAATTCCAGCAACAATTGGTGATTAACTGTAAGGTGATCAGGGCCCAGTGTTAAACCATTAAACCATTCAAAAACAGCTTGCCTCTGAATAGAGGGATGGCACCAGTACACTCCAATGACACTCCAATGACATATAGTGGTTACACCACCTAGAGTGTCCCTTTTAATTACAATAACGTGAATACCCTGAAACTGTTTGTATACCACGGTAACATCATGGGATGAGGAAAAGAGAAAGGTTGTAGGTGTCTTCCTTGTTATAGGGGTTTTTGGTGGTCCTTTTACCCTTTAATTGTATTTTAATATATTTATATTATATTTTTTCACTTCTTACAGCTTTAGAATTTTTGGTATAGTTTGTAGATAACTTGTGCAAGGTTTAATAGTGCTTGCATTAACATATTGCAATAGGATATATGTTTTCTTTATGAAAGTACACATCTGTCTTGTTCTATTTTGCCACTTTTTATTTATCTCCTTCTGTATATAGATTGATGACCCTCCGAGTCTAGTTGACATTGCACCAGTGTATGAAGAGCCTCAGGATCTATTTGAGATTGCATCCGTCCCACCCAGTGTCCGTGCCAGAATTCCATCTGTAAGAATAACTTGGTTCTATGATCTGTCTGTTGCTCCTTGAGGGACTGTTGCACAAAAAGGGAGTTATTTAAAAAATAAATAAAAAGTTGTCGCGCTTCATATAAACTCTCCTCCTTTAGACCAATGTTTGTCTCTGGTCACTATTTAAAGGAGCACTATAGGGTCAGGAACACAAACATGTATTCCTGACCCAATAGGGTTAAAACCACAATCTAGCCACTCTGGTCCCCTCATGCTTCCCTAAATATAGTAAAATTTTACTTGTATTCAAGTCTGCAGCTGCATGCTTTGTCCCTGTTTCCTTTAGACCTGCCCACTGCCTGCTGACATCAGCAGAAGTGGTAGCCTGATCCAATCACAATGCTTCCACATAGGATTGGCTGAGACTGACAAAGAGGCAGATCAGGGGCAGAGCCAGAACAATTCAAACACAGCTCTGGCCAATCAGCATCTCCTCATAGAGATGAATTGAATGAATGAATCGGTTCAGTGTCTGCATGCAGAGGGAGGAGATACTGAATGTTTGAATGCATTTTAGGCAGCCATGACCCAGGAAGGATCTCTAACAGCCATCTAAGGAGTGGCCAGTGAAGTTATCACTAGGCTGTAATGTAAATACTGCATTTTCTCTGAAAAGACAGTGTTTACAGCAAAAGGCCTAAAGGTAATGATTCTACTCACCAGAACAAATTCAATAAACTGTAGTTGTTCTGGCGACTATTATTTATTTATTTATAAAATATTTTATTTATAAAATATTTTACCAGGAAAGATACATTGAGAGTTCTCTCGTTTTCAAGTATGTCCTGGGTCCACAAATCATTGCATTGTTACATTAGGGTACAATAAAATACAAAAACAATATTAATACACAATAAATACAACATTTAACATAGAACAGGTAGGAAATATATAATCAACCATGACAGGTGCATTCTGTTTTGAGGTATGTAGAGAGGGATCTCTTAAAGGACTTTAGGCTTAGGGATGATTTTAAATTGTGCGGGAGGTCGTTCCACAATTGCGGTGCTCTGTAGGAGAAGGAGGATCGGGCCGTTTTCTTTTTGTATTGAGGTAGACTAAGTAAAGTGTGGGTACCGGATCGGAGCTTATAGGAAGTGGGAACAGCCGGGGAAAGCATTTTGTTCAGGTAGGGTGGGAGTTTCCCAGAAAAGCTCTTAAACACAAGGCTGGAAAGATGAAGGGTGCGTCTGGATTCCAGCGACAGCCAGTTTAATTCTTTTAGCATGTCACAATGGTGGGTCCTGTAATAACATTGTAGCACAAATCGGCAGAACGAGTTATACAATGTATTCAGTTTATTAATGTGGGATTGCAATGCAGATGCATATACTACATCCCCATAATCAATGATTGGCATCAGCATTTGTTGTACAATCTTTTCCTTTACTGTAGGGCTTAGGCAGGATTTGTTTCTGTACAGGGCACCTAGTTTTGGATAAAGTTTAGATGCAAGCTTTTCTATGTGCAGGCCAAAAGATAGATTGGGGTCTAACATCATACCCAAGTATTTGAAAGAGTGGACTGCGGTCAGTGTGCCATTTGAATTTGTTTTGATGGATAGGTGGGAATTGTGTAATTTGTGTAATTTAGGTACTGTTCCAAAGATCATTGTGACAGTTTTGTCAGTGTTCAGGAAGAGTTTGTTTTTTGCGATCCACCTTTCTACCTCTGTAAACTGGTCTTGGAGCACAGCCTCAAGTTGCGGTAGATCGGATTTGCTCGCATAGATTACTGTGTCATCTGCGTACATGTGTACATTTGAGGATTGGCAGACATTAGGCAGATCATTTATAAATAATTTAAATAGTAGGGGGCCGAGTATGGAACCCTGGGAACACCTCATGTGACTGGGAGAGGGAGGGAGTCGCTGTCAGAAATGGACACATAGTGTCCCTTTAAACATCTATCCAAGGTCTTTGCTCTGATATTAATCATTTATTACTCTAACTATTTAATCCAGATATCTGCCTCAACTTTCTCTAATTTAACCTGTGGTATGTTTTAATCTTCTGGTATGGCTTTCCTTCATGTATTTCTTCTGATGTTACTCCATGTTCCTTTCTCATTCACACAACAGCTCCGTCTAGTGGCTCTCAATGTCCCACTCTCTGGAGATATGAGTGGGATTCGAGGAGCCGACCTGCAATGTCATCGACAAGCCCAAGAGATTTCCCTCTATGGAACATTTAGAGCCATCCTCACCTCTTCAACTCAATTGCTTTCCTCCATCGTGAAGAAGACAGACCGAGGCCTACCTATTGTTAACTTAAGGGTAAGCTCTTTTGGTTCAATCACAAAAACAGTCACACCACAGTGAATATGAAATATATGAATTATCCCTGTGTTTTTCATAGGGTGAAATCCTTATGAAGAACTGGAATTCCCTTCTGGATATTAAGACCCCTGTATCGTTTAAGCCAGGTGTTCCTATTTACTCCTTCAATGGAAGGGACATCATGAATGACCCTCTCTGGTGAGCAAATTCTGTCTGACTATGTGGCCACATTGTTAGTTTCTCTTTAGTTTCACTGCTGCTTCATATGTTTTATTATAGGAACACTCCAAGAACCATAGCCACTACATAATGCTGTAGTGGTTATGGTGCCGCAAAACTATCTTCCATAATGCAGGACTTACCATGCATCGCTTTCCTTCCAAGGCCCTAATACATGAATCAGATACCACTCACATATCATCAACTGTCTTCCCCACTTTCTTTTATCTCATTCATTTTCTCAGAATCTTAAGTCTTCCCTATTTATCAAGCTTGCAATTTATTTCTCCACTATTGCTCCATATCATTCCTCCTTCATCTAACATTATACAAGGGACCCACCTACACTGCCTTTCTCGTTTCCCCATCACCACCATATTTTCTTTGTCTCCTCCAGGTCTCACAAAGCATTCTGGCACGGCTCCAGCCAAAGAGGTACTCCTGTTCGTAACAGAAACTGCAGAGAATGGAGAAGTCGCAGTAAAGTGGAAGGCCTGGGTTCAGCCATTACCGGGAGATGGCTAATGGATCACGACTCCTACAGCTGCTCCCAAACACTTGCTGTCCTATGTATAGAAATAGCTTTCCCTTACCATTACATGTGGTGAGCATGAGATAAAGACTCACAGCGGAGGGAAAACCTGCACATCCATTTCCTAAAAACCCTTTTCATGCTTAGTGCTAAAACTCCTTGATATGTATCTTACATCCCCCAAGTTCTGACTTTGTTAAAGACTCGAGTTACAACAATCGGTCTAGAACACCCTATTAGTTCAATATCAACAAAATGGCATTATATTTCTTATATCTTCTTCAATATTATTGTATGTTATATCTATTATTATATTCCAGTGAATGGAATTTAAGCTAGTATTTTGTTTAAAAGTGTTAAATAATGTATTTGTATCGGTCATCAGTCCTTATCTTATTGTCTATCAATAGTAACTGATGGGATTTTTAATATAGCAATAGCCTTGACATCTTTCTACAGCCATCCCACTCTGGTGCTATATTGGTTTATATACCTTTGTATCCTCTGTACTTGATTCAATTACATCTACAAAGGATGCCCTGAGAGTTAGGATGTTTACAATGCTGTAACCAGCTATTAATTAACAGTCCATTTTTATGTTACCATTACTCCAGCCCCCCTTTATTATATATATACAAAAAGCAGAGGATAAATCAACCTTTAAAAGAATGGACGTAGTGTTACTATACCACATACAAGAGTGAATTTAAAGCAGATGTGTCACTATCTGGTGACTTTGCAAAATTTGCAGCACATGCGCGGGAGTACAGAATTGAGATCTATGGATGATTTCGCAAGATAACTTGTGGTGGCTCAGGGAAGTGATATGGCTTGACAGCAGCGGTAGCTCCACCCAGTGTCAGGCGTAGGAAAAATACTGAGACAAAGTAGTCCCTACTTTGTCTCAGTACACCTTTTAACTTGGTTGGTATTTCCATGAAATTCCAACACAGTCAATATAAGTATTTCATAAAGATTTTATCTTTCTGATATACTCATTTTGCAGGTGGCTGTGACAATGCTGCGTTAAAGGGAGTTTGGAATGGGTATAGTTAGTACAATTCACATTTTCATGAGTGATTCCTCTTTAAGAATTTCCGTTTACTTAAAAATTGCCAAACGTGAGTCTTACATAGTGAGTCAATATATATTACATGAAACATGTGCAGAAACTGCACCTCTTCCTTTATATACTTCTCACATTTTATTTTTATTCTTTTTTTTTTTACAACATTGTCGTTTCCATTGTATATAAAATGATGCAAAGGTGTAGCATTTCTTTCTGACAAATTTGCTGGCTTTCTGTGACGAGTAAACAGCTTTCACATGTATAAAAAAAAAAACAAAACTTCAAATTGTGAATGTAATTAATGTTAAAATAAATAGTAAAAATAAGGAGCTGAAATGGCAGAATATGCCACTACAGAAAAGGCTGAAAAGAGGCACCGATCTATAAAGGGTAGAACAACTTTTTAAGACATTACAAAATGGTGCATGCGCACAAAACAGGTGCTGATGTAAAAGCGAGCATGACACATTTTATTCATAACCCCTAATGTATTGATCTTGAGTTCTCAGTGAGATATATTGCCTATATATGCATTCACCCCACGGAGGTTTGTGCCCCTGTACCTCCCTCACCAAATCTACAAGATAACATGCACTGTCAGCAATAATCATATACTAACACTAGATGGTGCTATAATCCTCAAATTGCAAGAATCTTATTGGAGTAAAAGTAGGAGTAGAATCAGTGGTGTATCCTGGTTTTGTGCTGCCCTAGGCAGGACAAAACTCAGGCACCCCCCCGCGCCACCCCCACCCGCGCAACCGCCACCCAACCTTCCCCCCTGCTCCGCCTTCTAAATACACACACATTCACTGACAGATACGCATTCACTAGCTAACAGAAACACACAGTCACTAACAGACACACACTCACACACTCACTAACAGACACACACAACAGGACACACACACTAACAGACATCCACACTAACAGACATCCACACTAACAGACACACACACACTAACACTAACATACATACACTAACATTAACATACACACTAACACTAACATACACACACTAACAGACACACACACTAACACTAACATACACACACTAACAGACACACACTAACATACACACACTAACAGACATCCACACACACACACTAACATACACACACTAACATCCACACACACACACATCCACACACACACACTAACATACACACACTAACAGACACACACACACACACTAACATACACACACTAACATACATACACACACTAACATACACACTAACAGACATCCACACACACACTAGCAGACATACACACACTCACTAGTGTTTTTTTTGTTTGTTTTTTTTATTTACCTTACCTTTGATAATGCTGGGGGGGGGTTCTTCCTCTCCCTGGGGTCCAGTGGCTGCAGCGCTGGGCAGGCGGGCGGCCACCGAGGGAGCTCTTCCCCTGAGCGCTCTGCTCTGCTCAGCTCCCTCGCGTGCCGCCAGCAGAGTGAGGCTGGGAGCCGGAATATGACGTCATCAACCCGGCTCCCAGCCTCACTCTGCTGGCGGCGCGCGAGGGAGCTGAGCAGAGCGCTCAGGGGAAGAGCTCCCTCGCCGGCCGCCCGCCCGCCCAGCGCTGCAGCCACTGCCGCCCAGCGCCCAGAATGTCTGTTAGCCGCGAGGCTAACAAGACATTTGCCTTGGGCATTTGGGGGGCGGCGTTTTTTGCCGCCCCCTGAAAAATGCCGCCCAATGCAAATGCCTTGTTTGCCTCGCGGCTAATACGCCCCTGAGTAGAATAGGAGTGATAACATATATAAGAACCCCATAGATTAGTGGTAGTGTTCATTTTGGCTGCAAATTTCAATTTAGATTTAGTCATTGTCTTTCGACTAAAAAGCCATTTTAGCTTTAATTGTATTTTAGTCTTCCGAATGGTTTTAGTTTTAGTCGACTAAATTTCCAGTGGATTTTAGTCAACACAACTAAAATTTAATGGGTTTAGTTAAAGCCTCTACCTGTATCTTTTGCCCCTTCCCCAGCCCCTCTGTGCAGTGATAATTTTAGCAGCAAATTTCAATTTAGTCATAGTCTTTCGACTAAAAAGCCATTTTAGTTTTAGTCGTATTTTAGTCATCTGAATTGTTATTTTAGTCTAGTTTTAGTCAAGTAAATCTCAAAAGTTTTTGTCAACTAAAATCTGAATAACGTTGGTTGACAAAATTAACACTGATTGATGGACAGTGGTTGTATCATTCCTCTAATTAAAAATTGTCTATCCCTTAATTTATTTTCTATTACTTACTGCTTTGGTCACAAACCTGGGGATAAATCCTGGTCATCTATTCAATTTTTATTATCAAATATTTTTAACTATAATTTAAATATCTCTCTTTAGTTTTTAGTTTGCAGGCCTAGCTGCTAGCATACTAAAGCAAGCTGATAGCTATGTTAGTATATAAACTGACATAAAGATTCCCAATTAAGAGTTAATAGAGATAAGATGGATTGGGAAAGCTGTCAATGTGCAGCAAACAGATCACAGATTTACATTAGTTACACACACACAAAAAAAGTGTCAGACGAATAAAAACTCGTAGGGGTTAGTTTTTTTTGTTAGTCAGTTGTTGAAGCCCAAAAAGTGTATTTTTTATCAAGGTCAAAAACAACCAAAACAGAATGTATATTCCAAGAAGCAAGTTCAGACGATCCAACATCCAGGAAGCCAAAGTTCCAGAACAGACCCAGCCTTGGCAATGCACCCTTAACATGCCTCTTGCCTGACCTCGGAGCACTGCTTCCTGGTAGGATTTGGGAGCTTGGCACCAAAGATTGTGCTCCAATGGGGAGACAAGAGGATTGAGTCCCACTAGCACTATCTTCTGGGTCAAACGACCATGGACACAGTGGCTTAAAGCAGGTAACAGGTAAGGAGTCGCAGATGAGCCACGACTGTATGTGAGATGTTAAAGTGTGCCCAAGCTATAAAAATAAAGTAATTTAAAGCCTGACTTCTGCAGCATAATTTAGTTTGTATTTCTTAGATTTATATACTTAGTTGTAAGAAGGTAAGATAAATAAACCAGGAGAGTGCTGTTAACATCTTGATGTGTTTAGGCCATGGGCCCAATGGCCAAAGCACATCAAGAGGTTACATTCAACCTGCTGCAATTGAAAGCACATTACACAAAGTCCTTCTGAGTTTTGTCCCTCATTAATAAAGACAAAAAATCATGATGTGGCCTCCAACATAAACCATCAAGGATGAACCAAAAAAGTTAACCTCATAAAAGATATGAGACCCACCATGTTTTGGGATCAACATCACCTCTAATGGCTGAAAGCAGTGTATATCCACAATTTCCTGAGGTGATCAGACTTGGAACCAGGAGAAAGGAGCCAGGGCTGTCTTCCTTCTGATAATGAAGAAAAGGACGATGCACAAGTGAACTTCATGGTAACTTGCAAGTAAGCATAGGATGGATCCCAGGTTCTTTTCTCGGTGAGTCTTTAGTTTAGCTTCGTGAAATCTTCTGTTAAAAGCCAGAAAACCTTTCCCTTCTGCGTGCCAGCAAAGAATTTGGAATAGCTTCAAAGTATGGTCGCAAAAGAAAGGTAGGATTTTTTTTTTCCAACGGACCATTCAGATGGAAAACACACAGGTCGCAGACCTTTTATGGTCCAATTTGGAATTCATCCTACAGTTAGTTCGTCCTGCGGAAGGTTCTGTGTTGGGTATCAATACCTTGGACGACCACCTGGCTGAGCTGCGGGCCTAGTGGTCTTGAGTTAAGAACCGACTGGAGCACTCTGTAGTGCTCCAAAAGAGACTGGTAAATCACAGGGCAGAACTTTACTATGGTCCTGGACAGATGATGCTGATGTGGATGCCAGCCCTCTAGTCATGCAGATCCTCCTCAATTTCCTTTTACACCTAGAAGGAACCACACAGTGTGTGGTTATTTGGGGGTGAATGTAATGTAAGGGTTCTTACCAATATTGACACATTAGCCTCAATTCAGCCACAGTTCTGGGTTACTAGATTCCATTCAAATTCAGATGCAACCACGACTATCCAGCAATCTTGTTCCAGTACTGATGCAGATGTGTCAATTCGGCCAAGATCAAAGCAGTATCAATGCAGCATCATTTTTATTATGCCATGATCGAGTCGTTCTGTCTCTAAACCAACCGAAATTGACGCAAGCTGTGACCTGAAGTCCTGACATGGAGTCTTCTCCTGTCTATCTGTTTATAAGACCTAGCTATGCTCTTACAAGCTTTGGTTTTATTTTAGTTACTGGACCTATCTGTTCATTGTTATTCTCCCTAGAATTAAATATATAGTGCAGGGATAGGCAACCTTTGGCACTCCAGATGTTTTGGACCACATCCCCATAATGCTCTTGCACCTGTAATGCTGGCAAAGCATCATGGGAGGGGTAGTCCAAAACATCTGGAGTTCCGAAGGTTGCCTAACCCTGATATAGTGTATATACTTAAATGGTCCAACCGACTAATGGCTATGTTTGGCATTCTAACAGAGGAAGAACAAAATGTAGTTTTAAAAAGAGGAGAGGGTCTTAATACTTGCTCTTTCAGCTACAAATAAAAAGGCCATTTTGACAAATAGGATTAAGTCAGAATCACCAAAGCTTTCCACTGACACAAGGCAAATATATGGTGGTTAAAGCCTTCTTTTGTAAATGACCCCCTTAAAAATCTATTAACTCTACTGCCCATTGCTATGAAGCAATGTGATCGGCCATTGCACCATCAGAGTTACTAGGTGATAGACAGACAGAATAAAATCACGTCAGAATCTAAGATCTTGATAAAGACCCTAGAAGTTGAAACACTGATGTTATGCTGTTCGTGAGTCTATTGCTGTTATTCCTTCAATCCTCCACTAGTTCTAATTCCAGATGTGCTGAATATAGTGAAAGTATTCCTTTTGTGTAGAGCTTCCTCAAGATAATGGACGCAGCCAGTCGTATTGGGTAAAAGCAGCAATCTGACTTTATTAGGCTTCACTCGGCTTTTTATGCAGTGCCCCTAGCATGGGGTTTCTAATACAAAATTACACAGGTTTCCTTCCCACAAGCCATTGTGTTTGAGAGATAGTTGAGCTCCAAATAAGATAATCCAATTATCTCTCAAATGGGAATACTTACATACAATGTTTACATATCACAAAAATACATGACAACAGCATGGGAACCCCACAAAAATTATATTCCCGAATAGCCCCGATCTGAGCGCATAACATATCCAAAAAGCGCTCCGATCAGTTTGGTAAAACAGTTATGTTCGTGCATATATGAACTGGCTGCCTGGTAGAGGTGGTATTGTTAATTTCAAAAGGGATTAATTTGATTGTATGGGAGGGCATTGCTTACAACCTAAATTCCTCTTTAAAGCTGGGACCCCAGCAGAGCTACTCTGTAAGGTGTGAGAAGTCTGGTTTCAGTATAAACTAACTCTCTCATTTGCTATATGTCTTGATTCCCTCTTAGATAAGGAGTCCTTTGATATAAACAAGCCGTGTGTTCCAATATCATATCAAAAAGAGACATTAATACCTATCCACAGATTAATACTCAAGCCTCGTTTTTATCATATTTAGAATGGGACAAGCACAATCTTCCAATCAAGCCTAAACATGATTTGCGAACAAAGGGATCCCACAGAGTCTGTTCAGTAACCAAACTGAAGGGAACAATTCCATTAGAAGGCAGGGAAACAGACGATACAAAGTATACTTAAAGGAACACGTACGAGGAGTCCCATCTCCCGTGACAGCAACCTTCAGTACTCCAGAGCTTGTGGACTACATTTCCCAGAATACCTTTACAGTCATAATGCTAACAAAGACTGAGGGAAGATGTCCACAAATTTGCAGTGCAATAGTGTGTTAGATGTCTCTGATGTAGAATTATTAAAATCTTTACTGAACTTGTATTGAATAATTGTACTAACTCCATTTTTAATCTCACACTGTGACAGAACTCTCCATTTTGTTCACCTTACATGACAGTATTCAATATAATGAATAAGAGATTGTATTTTCTCTCTCTAAGGACATAACTAGCCCCGGAGTTAGCGGATCTCCGTTGACTTGCAACATAGTATAATCCAAGGCCAGGAGAACAGCGACTAAATGAAATGTTCTATTCATAAAAGAACCTTGGACCAGACCACGAGACTGACATCACTAACTACGTAAAATGATGCCCAAGCCCCCCCTTTCCACCGAGTAAGCCTCGTGCTAAAGAGCAATGACATCCCATGATGGGAGGGTGCCTCACTAGTCACTCAAATCTCTGAGCCAATTAATAATATTAATGGGTGGACACTGACATAGCCACTTAACATTTAACCCAATTAATGATGTTTATTTGTTATTATCTGATATTCAATGATGATGTCATTTTGCATATAAAAAGGCCTGCGTGCCCGCTTTTTAACTAGATGCTAATAAATTTCCTGAAGTGTTTTTAACCTGAACTTCATGTGTCAGTGTGAACTTACTTCTGCGTATACGCAATTTATTCATCTCAGATTTGGACAGGAACAGATAGACTTTTAAACATTTTTGTTTATTTCTAAATTAATCTACATCAATTTGGCGTCCATCCAACGTGGGGCATCGGGCTATGGCCTCCGGCCGGTAAGCCGTCCTAAGGAAGACGCTGTTGGACGGAGGAATCGGGGGGGAAGGAAGAGAGACTGATCACCTCTGAGTACACGGTAGAGACTTCTGCAGGAGCCACCGGTATGTTCCAGCCCCTTTGATTGACCCGTCCACGTGTCTGTGACTGCTTCCCGGGAGGGCATCAAAGACAGGTAATATCTTGCCCAGTGTCTTGTTACCCATTTGTTTACCTGCATTTAGTCTATCTGTTGCCTGGGTGTGCTAGTGGTATATGTTTTGTTCTTTCCCTCTTTTGGGATAAAGGGGGGTGGACCCGTGGGTGGTTGCCTGGGGGTCTTCTGTTGCCTGTTTTTACCCCTTTTTAGGAGTCACTTGGCCCAGACTGTTGGGAAAAAAAAGGGGGGGTGGACCTGTGGGGATTTTCCAAAGGGGTCCTGTTTTCCTGTTTACTTCTTTTAGGTACTGTCTAGCTAACAGTAGTAAGGAAAAAGAAGGGTTGGGGGATCTGTGGAGGGGACTTG